AGCAGCTCTCTCCAAAAATGTATTCACTCTACCTTTTAACTAATCCATCACTGGAAAGGGAGGTCATTTTCTACCTACCACAGAAGCCTTATTTTTCCCACACAGATTGACAATTATTTATTCCAGGAAAAGACATCCCTTCATAGAATATCTGACCATCCCTTTCTGAGGTTTCTATGACGAATGTCTGTTTGGGTGGGCCCTTCCCGACACACACCTCATTTCTACATCTTTTTCACGTGATTGCAATCACCCCCAGCAACATCAATCCAGCTGACCCTTTCAGGTGATAGAGAACGATAAAACAAAATTTAAAGCGTTCCTTCTGCTAACATAAAAAGAATAGTGATATGGTTTTAGGAGGGAAAAGCCATAAAATGCTGAAAATATGCATTTATAAGAGCAAATATACCTTTTTATGCATTTATGTGCACAAATGGCAAAAAGTGCTAAAATATGCAATTGCATAAAATCCTTTCAAAAAAGATTTTTAATTTGTTATGACTTCTTTAAAATAATGAGCTTTTTGAACTTTTTAGTCTGCCTGTTTTCAGTTGCAACAATACATTTTATTTACGAAGTTTAAAAATTATATAATTGAATAATTTATATAATGTTCAAAAATAGTATTATCCTTTTTGACATTTTTTTTATTACACTGAATAAAAATATATGATTCAAAAAATAGCGCATTAGTTTTACAAGTTACACACACTTTTTCGCTGAAAAAATAATTTTAAATTCAAAAGTGAATAACATTTTTAAATTTCTTCAATGGTTCGAACAACATTAAATGTACATTACCTTCCTATCTGATGGTATCATGATTCAAAATTATTCTTTTCAAAAAAAAAATTCAAAAGTAACGTGCAAACTTGCTAAGTAAAATAAAACAATAATATTATCATGCAAATTTCATTTAAATTGATTTTTACATTTGATTACTGTTGATTAGTCATTGTTTTTGTCCACAATTTTTATCTCACATCATACATATCAGTTCATTGCATGAATGACATACCATATGTTTAAAAATAATCATAATTATTAATAAGACTGATATACACTTTTTTAAACAGTTTATTAACAACATTTTAATATGAATACATTTAATTACGCAAATCATATAGGGTCATTCCACAGAATTTCAACAAGCATGAGTTGCCAGACCATTTTTGATTTTTTTCATACTTTGTATGTGGAAACATATGAATTAAAGAAGGTAAAATCTATTTACAGAAAAATTCTATCTTCTTAATTTTTTTTATTAGTGGGGCTTGAAAATGGCGACCTTGCTCATTTTTTTGAAATTCAGGGGCGTCTTAAATTTTACATATTTGCTAAACTAATAGAGATAAACAAAAAATTCAAAAAGATATGAAATCTGTGTAGTTTTTTTAATAAAAATCATGTGAAATTTGCGGTTTTATCTGTACTTTTAAAAAATTGGGAACACTGTAAAAAAAAAAAAAAAAATAAAGTATTACTCAAAATGCCAGTTTTTGAAAATTAATATCTCATGAAGGGGAAGAGATAACAGTTTGGATTTTTTATATGTGTTATTGCTATGAATGACCCATCTGTGAATGATTTAATTTCTAGTATCAAGAAAGTTTTTCTCAAGGCACCTGTGCGCATAAAATTGTATAAAAAAATGTATCCTGATTTGCCCTTTCCTCCACAGCCTGTGATAACTAGGTGGGGTACATGGATTGAAGCTGCACGTTTTTACGCTAATAATTTTGATGCCATAAAGTCAGTTGTAGATGCAATTGACAGATCTCTCATTTATCATACTTCAGTTTTAGTCTTTTTCTTCAGAAATGTGTAGATGCAAGTAAGAAATATTTTGATTTTCTTCCTTTTAACAAAAAAATGTTTGAGCTGTGTTTGTTGGAAAAAGTAAGTAGTAGTATTTAAATAAGTTGAACTTTTAATTTCTATTTTAAATGCATATTTCTAGTTTTAAGAGCATATATTCAAGTTTTTTAGTGTATATTTGCATGCATTGTCCGTTTTTTAGTGCATATAATCCGCTGTCTAGTAATGATAGTTGACTATAAATATAACAATGATAATTTTATTTTCAAAAGTAAGACATGAGTAATTATGCCTCAAATGGAAAAGAATTGGCTTACAATAAACTTACATAGTGATTTTTGCAAAAGATTTTTTATTTTTTATCCTAAGCCCTACAACTAGATTGAAGAAAATAAAACTTGGCTAAAAATACAGTACAATTATGCAACTGTAATAATTGTTATTTTGGGGTAATGCTTTTTTTTTCTTTTCAATTTATTAGTTTGTTTTCATTGAACTTAAACTTATTCGATTGTTTAAAAAAAATCTTTTAACATAAACGCGGAAAAAAAAAGACAATTTTCTTAGATTTAAAAACTGAAACCTTAGACTAAAAATGTTTATCGAAATGATTAAATATTTGTCAAGAGAAAAAAAAGTAGTTGATATGTGAAAGAAAACTAAAAAAGCAACAGCATATTCTTAAATGAGATATAAACTTAAAAAAAAAGAAAAAGAAAATCACACATTCGAAATAACATTTTTTTTATTTGAATTTACAAAAATTACAAAACAATACTGAAATGATTCGTTTTTAAGCCACGCAGTTTGAGAAAAATTGATGGATGGATTTAAATACAGTTTTTTAAACAAATATATTAATGCTTAATAAAGTACAAGCTAAAAATTTTAAGTATAACTTACAAAACGCTAAAAGATATCCGTCGAAAATGGACTATATGTACAAATTACATTTAAAATAAACTTTAAAAAAAAAATAACACAGTCCAAAGCATAAATAAAATTTCATACGATATTTACAAGACATAAAATGATTATTTAAGTCCCTAGTAAAATGAAACAGTCTATAATAAATCATAAGAAAATAACATTATGTTATTGAGCGATGTATTGTTTTTAAGTGAGCTTTGTAGCTTCAGGCACTGAAAGAAAGGCAAAACTGTAGATGAGAAAATTTTAACATTTAACTGCAACATAACTTTTAACAGTTATAACTAGCACACATACATAAAAACTATATTTTCATAATACAATACTTAATACAATTGGGGTGTAAAACCTGCAGCCCTCAAGTGATTAATGTGCAGACCCTAACTAGCAGCTAAAAATTAACCGTTAAAAACAGGGTTGCCACTCAAATCTGGCAAAAAAATTCCAAGTGATTTTCCTATACACAATACATTAAGAGGAAACACAATTACTGTGCTCTTGTGTGAGCTATATTAGGGTAACTAAACTAGTTTTAAGAAATAAGAAACAGCTTCACATACATATAACAAATAATACTATAAAAATGAGATAGTAAAGCTGAACAATACCGCATAGATTGCACTTTGAAAGGTAGGCATTTTTTAAAAAAAAAAAAACAAATAAGAAAAAAAGTTCCCTGTATTTTCCTAGTTTGCAAGGAAAAATTCCGAATTCCCTGCATTTTCCCAGTTTGCAAGGAAAAATTAAAAATTCTCTGCATATTTTCTGTTATTTCAGATGATTTTTAAATTGCCTTATATTCCAGGTTTTCCCCATTCTCCCCATAGAGTAGCAACCATGAAAAAGTTATATAAAAATTTTTAAAACTATTTTTAAGATTAATTTCAATAAAATTGGAGAAAAAAAATGTAATTATTTGATTTAAGTCTTTCAAAATGTAGAACTATTAATTTAAAGTTTAAAAAACTAAAAGTTTTCTACATTTTTAAGCAAATTTTTATTTGTGGTCTTTGTTTTCAAAAAGGTTGTGCAACCATATAATATAAAGTACATTTACATTATTAAAAAACAAGGTGGAATTATGATAACAATTTGCATAAATTAAAAAGAGAGAAAGATCTTTTTAATAAAATAATTTTTTTTCAATGAAATTTATTTATAACAAATATTTTTCAAAACAATTCTCCAAACATTACGACTTGCTACAAATTTTCCCTACTAAGCACTTCTATCTCATAGTTTGGGGAAACAAGTTTGTGTAGCAGTAAAGCAATCAGCTGAAGTTTGGAAAGATCAGAATACTCAAAGGAAGGCAAAGGGTTTAAACTACTTTATTATTTTTCTTTGATTTGAAGTTTTTAATTTTACATTTGTAAATTCTTTACACGACTTCATAAATTTTAAATAAACTTTGAATTATGACTAAACACATGCTTTTACATTAAATTGTTACATTTCCAAATATCAGTCACATAATTTAAGAACCTAAGTAAGTAAATTGCTGAACTCAATATAATAATTATTAAATTTCTTAAAATGGAATTAAACAGTTGCATAACTCAAATATCTACTGTACTCAAATATATTATTTCTCTTTTATTTAACGTTTTTAATTCTACATTAGTAAATTCTTCACATGGTTTACAAAATTTTAAATAAACTTTGTATTGAAAAAAAAAAGAAGCAATTTTAAGTAGTTTAATTTTGTGTAACTTTGAATTACATACATGTTTTTATATTAAATTGCTATATTAATCATATAATTTAAGAATCTAAGTAAGTAAATTGTTCAACTTAATATAATAATAATTATTAAATTTCCTAAAGTAAAATTGAAATATTGTACACAATAAATACTTACTATAACTGTTAATTATATCATTCTAACAACAATATTTGGCACTGAGTCTAAGTAAGCTGCAAGAGACAGACTCTGACATCAAATAAAACTGGGAGTTAGCTAGCTAATTAATATTAAGTTAGGATATATATTAATTCTAAGTGCAAATGACAGCTTATACATCTAAAACTTCATAAAATTCAACAACTCAAGAATCAAAAATCAACGATTTTCTTCAAAGAATAGTAAGAATAAAACAAAATATACTCAAATATATTTCTAGTCACAAATTAAACAAGTTTGAAAGAGTTTCAAATATTTTTTTAAAAATAAAACCTATTTATATATTGAAAAAAAAGTAAATAAGTAGTCAATAAGAAATAATTTAATTACATCTAAAGACAACTCAAAAGTTTTCCTTTCAAAATATTTATGTTCGAAAATACAAAAATATTTAGATCTTACAAAAATATTTTGATTTCCTTTTGTTTAATTTTTTAAACTAGACCGAACTCATTAAGTTTATGCATCATTTAAAAAGATAAATATCATGCAACTGGGAAATAGATATTTATTTTTATTTAGAAAAGTTTATAAGAACCGCAAGTTTTAAAAAATCAAAATCAGCTCTGTGTAGAATGTGAGCAGTCAAAGTAGTTGTACAATTTTAAATTTTTCACATACACTCAAAAGCAGAGGAAATACTGTATAGCAGCATTACAGGCATTTTAGGTGACTTATTGCCTGTTTAGATGTAAAATTTATTTAAATATAAAAGTATCACAATGTACATAAAGAGAGTTTTTTTTTTAATTAAACAAGTCCAGCATCTTTTGCCATACTATAGAATATAGAATTCTCATTTTTAAGAAGGTTTTCTGGTGAATCCATTTCTACAATTTCTCCTTTGCTTAATACAATAACCCTGAAATATTGAAATGAGCTTGTATCAATATCATAACAGCATCAATAATCACAGAATAATTTTTAAAAATTATTTACTTAAAACTAAAATAAGACTGTAGTGAATTAGCTTAAGGGTCCCTTTAAACAGAAAAAAACTATTTAACTGTTTCTGTGCGAACATACAGAGAATTATCTGTCCAAAATTTCCTTATTTATTCAGTAACTAATTAATATTTTTAAATAATTTTTGTCTCAGTTTATTTATCGAAATGTTTTTAAAAAAATTCTATTAAACTTATTTACTGAATTTTGCTATAACTATTTAATGTAATTGCACTTTTATTGATTTAGAGAAAGCTATTTTAATGTAATTTAATGATCTGCTGATCACCTAACCAAAACATCTGCTCCTGCATTTTTAAGTCCAAAGGCAAGATAACTGGAATGGGCACAATGGGCCTTGGCCCTCCACGGGCTGTCAAAACACTGAGTTTAGTTTTTTCTTTTGAACAAACTGCACCAGTATGTTAGATTTAAATTACGAGAAGTTGTGAACAAAGTAACAGAAAATATAGGTTGATTGTAAATTACCATTTTCTTTCTTTTTGTTATCATTGATTCGAATATTTACGATCTGTGCTCTATCAATTAAGATAAATAAACTTATATCAGAAATAATATTCAACAAAGTTCAAATCATAAAAAATAAAAACATACTTGTCATAATCCATGATAGTGTTTAGTCTATGTGCAATGGTTAAAACTGTGCAGTCAGTAAATTTTGTACGGATAGTAGATTGTATGAGCTCATCTGTTTCAACATCAACAGCTGCAGTTGCTTCATCAAGAACAAGAACTCTGCTTTTACGTAGCAATGCTCTGGCCAAGCACACTAACTGTCTTTGACCAACACTAAAAAAAGTATAAAGACAATTAATATGTATAGACATATTGAAAACTAATCTAGCCTATTGAACCACAAGAAGACAAACACATCAATTGATGCAGTTTTTGAAACCCATGACTTGAGATGTTAAGGCATTCATAAAAGTCTATCCAGAAAAAAAAAAAAAAAAAACATTTGACCAATGGGTGATTGCATAAATGCGATTACAATTTTCTTTTTTTGCAATTTATTTTTGTTAATTTATTTTTCATATGGATAACAAATATATACATTGAGGACACTGATACACTTCATACAAGTTTGTGAGCTAGCATTTCTGACTTTATTTAAAACGATTTAAAAAGCCTTTGCTTAAAGTAGAAGCTTTTGCTTCAACCATTTGTGCCCAAGGGCTACATGTACGGTAATGAAAATAAAGAAATTCAGTACAGAAAGAGGATAACAGTTAGTATAAATTGCTGAAATGTTCTAAATTTTGTTAAAAATTTAAATTAGATATCTTTCTTGGACTGGATGAAGACAATCACTTTTACAGCAACATCGATATAGAGTTCAAATTTTGAAAAAACATGTTGTACGTAAGTAGACATGATGAATATGCAAGGAAAAATACTAATTTTAGTATTTCCAAGCATTTTTGAATCCTATTTCAATAACATTCAAAGTCTTGTTTTTTATTAACCTCTTCAGATGTGGCTATTAATTTACAGGTTTAATCAAATAACGCCTGAAAATATTACATGAACTACATTCCCATTTTTAACATTTTGAATTAACCTCCAACTGCTGTCATGCAAACAACTCTAAAAGTTTTCTTAGACTTTAAAAGTTGTTTCAGTGAAGTGAGTTTCAAAAGCAAATTTTAATGTCTGTGTCAGACTTTTTACAATAACTCTTTGATTCTTAAACCTTTGTTTCTTTTGAAAATGATTCTGTTGAGGAGATAAACCGAGAAACTTACACATTTTTATTTTATCATATGCTAAAGACAAATAAACTAAAAGTGTAAATCATTTCATGCATCTTAATTTTTTTTAAAAAATGAAGAGAAAAAAATGATAACTGTAATAACACTACATAATCCTATACCTTCTCAATATTATATAATTAAAAATCTGATTAAGTAGAAATACAGCACATTTTTTCATAAAGTGGATACAGCATTTAAAGACAAAACTATAACATATAATAAAGTTAATTTATAAAGTTCAAAAAACGTGTAAACAAATCATATTTCAAAAAATATAAAATCACCTTAGATTTTCTCCGCCTTCTGAAATTTCGTGATCTAAGCCTGTTTCAAGAGATCTAACAAAATCTTTCAGATGTGCTTGTTCTAAAGCTAACCATAAAGCATCATCACTATAGGAGCCAAACGGATCAAGATTTGTTCTCATTGTACCAGTAAAAAGAACTGGATCCTGAAATCAATAATAGAACTTTAATTTACATACAATTCGGTTATAAAATTAATGAATTAATGTTAAGTTTATGCAGCAGTACTAAAAACATTTTCCATGGCTAAATCCCGAACTTTTTTTAAAATAAGTTTTCTAGAGTTTAATGCTTAAATTTTGTGCTTTTTTAGAGCCTGGTAAATAAAATGAAAAAAACTTCCTTATCTATTTAAGGAAAATATAAAATTTTTTTAATAAGTATATAAGTAAAATTAAAAATCAATATATACCTGAGGAATGATTGTCAACTTAGAACGCAAGTCATGGAGGCCAAGTTTTGCAATTTCTACTCCATCAATAAGGATTTTTCCACCAGCAGCCTCAACAATGCGAAACAAAGCTAGAGTCAAGGATGATTTTCCTGCACCTGTTCGTCCTACAATGCCACACTGAATAAAAATGGAAAACCCTTATTTGTTTTTTATTTGAAAAATAAGTTAAGTTATAGTATACTAAAAATAGGTACTCAAATATTGAACAGAATTTAGAAATAGCAAAACTAACATTTATTGGATTAATCAAAAAATTTAAAAAGATTTTTCCTATTTAAAAACTATATTTATGCCAATAATTTTGTCTTAAATACCAACAACAGTGGAACCAACCCCTAACATTTTCATTGCAGGAATTAGTAAAACTTAAGAACATTTGTTAAAAAGTACTTCTACATTAGCTAGTTATCAGCCAGTGTAGTTATGGATTTTAAGGTATCTTAAGTTAGAGACAAAGCACAGCATCACTTATACCAAGAATAAATAAATACATATATACTATAAATTTAAATTTTAATCACAAGCTTCGCAAAACAACTTTAATTTAATACTTTTTGGAACATTTGATTATTCTAATTTTCTGCTTTAAAAATTCTTTATAAATAAAAAAATGTGAGGAAATTTCCAAGATAAATTTTCTTCAAAAACTAATTGCCAAATAAATACTATGGAAAAAATTGCAACATTTTCCTTGATTTTTTCACAAATTTAACTTTAATTTTTTTTTTAAAGAATTATTAGAATAAATATTTACATATATATAATAACTGAAAACAATTAATATGCTTGACCTGAAATATAATATCTGCATTACATAATAGCACAACACATGTTTTTCTTCTCCAAAGCCTGGTAAATAAAGTGGAAAAAAGTTTTTTTTAAATGCAGAAAAAAGATTTATCCTACAAATATCTATCAAATCTTAAACTAAGAAGAAAATTTTAAGAAACAAGAAAAAAGGAAATACAGTACAAATAAAGACTTAATATAATAATATCCTTAATATAATATTAATATAGATTTATCCTAAAAATATCTATCAAATCTTAAACTGAGAAGAAAATTTTAAGAAACAAGAAAAAAGGAAATACAGTATAAATAAAGACTTCATATAATATATTATCTCCGTCTTTTACTTCTATTTATAAGTAAATTTTTTATCTAGCAAAAAAATTTGAAGTTTGCTTGTGAAATGTTTCTGATGAGTTTTGTTTTATTTCACATGAAATATTTAATATAATATTGTTAAATTATCTACAACTTACTAATTGAATTTAAATAATTCATATAAAAAGTAAATATAGTGTATTTTATCGAAAATTTCAAGATTACTCTACATTTATTAGAATGAATCATTTTATAAAAATATCTGTGTAACAGGGATTTTTACATAAAAATCTAATTGTTAATAATTTTTTTCTGCATTTGAATATTTTGCTAAAACCACTATTCCATGTACCTCTAAGGAATGAATATCAATTATATTGTAACAACAGAATGTTCTGCATTCAATGCCTTTATTCAATTTTTAAAATCTTCGTCAAAAAAAAAAGAAATATATATATGAACATATTAGAGGACGCAAATTAATATTTAAGTGTGGAAAATATTGCTTTCAAAATTTGCCAAATCACCATTCTGGAAAACCAGTAAGAGAATATGAAATCTAGTTTAATTGCAAAATAAAACTCATGTTTTTCTGGAAGTCAAACAGTGTTTGATGTTTCTATTCTTAATAGTGATTCGTCAGATTTTGATAATATTTTGCTTTCTCTTCTAATAATATTTTGGGACCTTTAATATGCACAGTTTTAACTTCATTATTGAAAAGGATTCTAAAATGTATATTAAAGGCAGTTATAAGGGCAATAATTACAGAAGAATCTCCACAGTAAGAGTACATATAAAGGCCTAATTTATATAGTGTGTCAACTCTACTTATGTTCATTTTAAAACATAGATTCTTAAAGTTTACTGAGATTATTGTTTTTACCATCTTGCTCGATTAGTGGTGCCCTCTGTTTGGTAGTCCTGGTACTTAAAATATGTATGACTATTAAAAAAAAAAGTAAAGCTAACTTAATTTTTTTCACAAGAGAAATTGGTCAATCATATAAGGTCTCCACATTAGTGCACAGGTATTTAGAAAAAAGAAATACTGACCCTTTCAGATGGATTAATGTTGCATGAAATTCCTTTTAAAACTAATTCCAATCCTTCTCTGTATCTCGTGGCATACTGTTCAAACTTAATATGTCCATCTGAAGGCCATGATGGATCAGGTTTATTTTTTTCATTTTTCCAATCAGCCTAAAAAACATATCACAAAATTAAAAAGAATTTTTTTTCATTATTCAATTGGCTTCTATCATTAAATTAAGATGTGAACTTACATTTAAAAAGCAAATTAGTGTCATAAAAAATTCTGTTTGAAAAAAAAATCAATGGTATACATCGTTTCTGATTAAAAATGCAACTATTCATATTAATGAATACAAACAATTAAAAAAAATAATAAATTCTTTAACGAAGTGCTCCAAAATATCCACATTCTTGCATATTTTTTTAATCCTTATAAAAAGAGAAGTCAGAAAGTATGCATGTTAGGAGTTTTTAAAAATCAATGTTTAAGTGTGAAAGAACAAAAGAGAGATTAAAATCATCCAAAATAAACTGGATATATATTACTTTAATTCTTCCTTTATTTCTCACACTGACTTTAAATATGTAAGTTAGAAAATATTTTCATTTTTTCTCACAAAATCATTGAATTCTAACTCCATTAGAAAAATAGTTTGCTGACTAATATTTTCCAAGGATTCTGAAAATATATAATCAGGGCAGTCCTCATGAAAAACCCTGTATTACTTACTTCTACTGGAGTTTTGGTATATTCTAAACATCTCTCAACAGAAACAATGTTAGTCTCAACATCAGCTGTGGCCCTAACAAGCATGTTTAATTGGCCAGTCATCTATAAAATGTATAATTTTATTAAAACATTAATTATGAAACATTATTATTAATATTTTAATAAATATATTTTTTAAAAGCAATACTTGAAGCTTAAACCTATAATACTTGAAATTTAAACTTATAATACTTGAAGCTTAAACTCATAATACAAGTTTTTGTACCGAGACAAATTTTAAAAACAATAATTTCAAACTCATCTGCCATTGAAGACTACAGTAGACAGAACATGATAAATAAGATATTAAAACTAATATTTTATTGATTGGTTATAAGCATTCATTAAGCTATGTTTTATGGTGCACAGTAAAATCAAAAAATTATGAGCTAAGTAGAATTATTGAATTAGAAGAGCTTAGTAGTAGAATATTTTAAGTGAGATTTTGAAAAGGCTAAAATAACACTATAATGACAGGTTGTAAGCACAGAATATGCTGCACAGTTACTACCAGTAATATTGCACTGTTAAATACAAAATTTGAAAATATAATAATTTTGCAACCAGATGCAATTAAGGAGCATGATCTGAGCATGTTAAGTGAAGTTTTGAAAATACTCAACACTGAAATTACTGGTTCTGGTCTTATGATATTATTCTTTATTTTTCCTGGTGTTAAAAAAGCAATATTTTTTTCAATATATCTGAAAACCAAAACTAATTAAAAAAAAAAAAAAAACAGAGCTTGTAATGCTATTTTTTGTACTGTTATAATTACAAATTTCTAAAAGAACAATCTACAAGGGAGAATCACACCGGATGGAACCAATAAATAAAAATATTACCTGTAGAGCATAACTGACTGATAACCCAGCTATACCTGGACTCAAAGTATCTCTTGCCAAAATAGCAAAAAGAGCAGCTAAGAAAACAACTGTATATCCAAGAAACTCTAAATAAATAGCCAACCACCTACAAATAATTTATTTATGTTAATGGATCACAAAATACAAATGAAAATTTCATATCATATTATTCATGATACTTCAAGTTTTAGAAAAAACTCAATAAACACATTTTTAATTCGAGATTAACTTTTTCCAGTTTTTTAAAGCCTTATCTATTTTTTTTAACAAATTTTTATTAAAAGTAACCTCCTATATTTTCATTTAAAATTTTTAACATTTTATAAAAAAAACTTATTATTTTTAATGTTGTTACCATGTTATGTTGTTATGTTATTAACATGAAATAGCACAGATGGGTTCATAGCCCATTACTTTCTGACATATTTTGAACACAAATAGTCTGTATAAAAACATACTAACCAGGTATTAGTAACTAATATATTTTCTGGTTAATAAATCAACTTTTTGAACCCCTAAATTGCAAAGATAGTTATGATTTGACTTATTTACTGCTACCAAATTTGGCCATAAAGACTTTTTCCCCAGAAATTTGACTCTTAGCATTGTAATTAACTTAATATGTAAGGTAAATACAAACATAAAAGTAATGCTACTATAACACAATCAAAACTTTGATATAATAAAAATAATTTTTTTTAAATAACATAATAAAGGTTCCATTCTATAAGTAATTTCACTTCTTCTTTCTCTTGAAGCTCGTAAAATATCATTTTAGGTACAATCCAATGAATTAGAAAGACCAAATGTTTTAAGAAGTTTTCCAATTACGTTTGAATTGTCTTTTTCCATTCCAGAATGATTAGGTACTTTTGCATTCGGTTAAAAAAATTTTTTTTAACAAATGTAAATTGTGGAGTTAAGTGTAAGTAAGTTGTGGAGTACACCAAACGCTCACAAAATCAACCATTTAAAAGTTTAAAAAGCAACCATCAACATAGTTGACTTGTTTGAATATAGGGTTGACTTGTACATCAGAAACTATGGTAACACTTGATCTATGACTATATTGTAAATTATAAATTTTTTGAACTATATAACAGAAACTATTTGTCCATATTGTAATTACAAATGCTCAAAAATAATTCTATTATATTTGAGACATAAATAAATGCAAATTTTTTTTCTTCAAAAATACAAATTATTCAGACCTGCTAGCTCCAAGACTTGGATAATAGGATTCATTATTGATATCTACTAGGTTGTTTGAATGGGTCATAAACTGCTGATCTGCTCTAAAAGCTCTAATACAAGTGGCCCCTGTAACAGTCTCTGAAAAATGGGAATAAACAGGAGAACGAGTGGTCGACTCTAATCTCTTCAGCTGCCGAGAAGTTGGTATGTAGAATTTCTGAAAATACATAAGCAAATATATAAAACCCAGTTTTCTAAAGACGGGAAATTAATGTCTTATTTCTAATGAGAACAACATTACTTTATAGAATTTAATTTTAAATATAAGAAATTAGAATTTTTAAAATTAATTTTAAATATAAAAAAAAAGAAATTATGGATAATTCTGAAGGATTTATATAAAATATCATCTTAATGCAGGAATTTTTGGTTATTTTGATGGCGTCAAAATTTAGAAAAATTTCAAGTTCTTGATGATTTGCATAAAACTCTTGCGAAAAACTCTGATCAATTAATTTCATTTTAAGAGTAAAATAAACAAAACAGTTTGTTTTTTTTTAAGAAAAAAAAGGGAGATATTAGATACTTTGCTAGTTTTACATAACCAGTGGAAGTTTATTATCTTTCAAAGTTTAGTTAGTAAATTGGTATACCATTGATAAACTTTTTACAGAATCAAAACACAGAAGTTACACAAGAAATTATAAACAAGCTACAACAAAGTAATAGATTAAGTTTGTTTTCTTTTGTTAAAAGCATTAAATACTGCTTCATGGCCACTAACCTAGATTTTTTATCAATTTTATATTCCCTAGCAATTTAGTTCTTTTTTTTTTCTTTTTCAATTTCTACATCTTGCAACATCAGAGATTCTCACCTTACAATCACACTTATTTCATTCATCTAACTTTGTTTGATTATCTTGTTGGATTGTTTCCCCAACTCTATTAGTCTATCCTTTTCTCCCTATTGTAGCTTTTTTGAAATTTCCTCTGTACCTCAGTGTTTTTCTTTTTCATTCTGTAATTTAATACTGAAGAAGGCTTTTCATTACAGAACTGAAATGGTCTTGTTTATTTAGGGGATATCGGGATGGGTAGCTAAATCTTTCAAAAAAATATAAGGACCTTTTCAGTACTTTTAAAGCACTTTAAACATATTTTAAAACACTATATACATTTACAAAATGGAAAATAATTTTTAAAGACTTTACATGATCATGATAAAATAACTATTTTCTGAGAAAGAACTGTTTTCTTGATTATATTAGTGACCACAAAAAGATCGAGATTAAAAAAAGACAGATTTTTCAGTTCCATTACAGAGGATAAAATGAAGCCGGATATAGAGAATATCTTGCAAAATGCAGCAGTTGTACATGAGAGTGCAATAATCTCACCGAATCCAGTTTAGTAGAGGCACATGCGGACTGGCAAGTATTTCATCAAACATGTAAAATAATTGACGCTTTCATATGCTAATGACCGAAGGTACGAAATAGATTGTGGTTGAATGATTTGTGAAAAGGTTGAATAGAACAATGTGAAAAGCAGGCTTTTGCATAATATGTGGCGAAAATGGACATGGTAAAGAAAAAAAATCTCATTTTGGAAAAGGGAAAATTAAGCTCTTTCTAAAAACACCCAATGAAAAAAGCACCTTTAAGAGCTTTTTAAACAAAAATTTAAAATAAGCACCTTTAAGTACTTTTTAAAAACGCTACACGCCATGGACATCATTTTGCACTCTTTTTTTATTGTTTAGCTTTATTCACACTTATTATTCAATAAAAACATAGCAAAACTTTTTTTAAAAGCAAAAACACTGAATTAATAGTCGATTGAAATAAATAAAAAAAACAAATGCTATCCAATAACTATAAAAATGCCTACCTGCAGGAAATAATATAAAATACCAAGAGGAATTGCAGCCACAATAAATATCGGCGTTTCCAAGCAAATTATGAGGACTGCACCTAAAGTTCTGAATGACATAATAAGTAACATTCTTATGTTGAATCGAATAGTGACGTCAGCTGTATCAATGTCTTTAGAGAACCTGTTTAACAGTCTTCCTAAAGGAGTCGTGTCAAAAAATGACATTGGGGCATGCATTATGTGATTCAGCATGTCATTGTGAAGAATTGTTGAGGCTCGAAGACAAGCAAGGTTCATGAGAAGGGCAGTCACTATAGTGAAAACAACTAAAAAGAATAATACATTAATTTAGAATGTGGCATATAATAGATTAGAATTAAGTACTTTTTATGCATAGTAATTATCAAATATCAATTAAAAGTAATTATAGAAGATAGGCTGTTGACTGTCCATTCTAATGTGAAAGTAGAGGTGTAAGCGGGATAACAGAATAGCCAGATAGGATAAGGTTCCACTTCCAACACACTCTCCCATTATTTAAAAATACAGGTTACACATTTTTAAATAAATTATTCATGCAAAAATATCAAAGTTAATTAATAAACTGCACAAGTGTGAAAATTTACAAGGAAGATTTAAAATACACAGATGAGTACTTTAGCAAAAGAAAATAGTCAAATTTTAAAAATTTGCATTGCATTCTTTTTGTTGGTAAGTTTGTAAGATTTTACCTATTAGTTAAATTAACTATTTGTTATTTTTAAAGTCTGAATAACAGAAGGATATTTAAAATTAGCAAATGGCCTATATAAGTCTTCAAAATCATCAAATTGCTTTCTAATTGCAGGTGATTGGATATTCTTATATTCTGCATGATCAATTTAGTCAAACACAACTGTTTTTGTCTTTGTTATGTAAAAGAGTAAAGAACTTTCGCAACAATAAGTAGTTGTCCAAGGGGACATGAAGACCAAGGCCTTACAATTTCAAGATAAATGGTTTAATAATGGCAGTGAGATTCGCTATGTGCAGTGCGCGTCTTCTTCAATTCCAAGTTAAGCTGGTACTGATCAATCTGAAAGATGCAGAAATAGTTTAATAGTTCTCAAGCCATTACCTGGCATAGGATAGAACATCCATCATCCCTGTGGAATGACTGATCTGTAGCATGTTTACCACTACAATTATTTAATTCTAATTCACTAGCATATTCGACATTTTAACTCAATTTTATGTTGGGGTACCTTTTCATGAATGAAGTTTGACAATGTCGAAAAGATACTTCCCCCACATTGGTGGCCCGCGGACTTGACCGGAACACACCTACCTCAACAGACACACCCACTTCGATAGATGGTCTACCTTGAACAGTTAACTTGCTACTTTGTGACTGCGGCATTGTCCTCACCACACTGTTGCTACTCAGTCTCAATTACAGACAAAGCCAGCCTGCATACACTTGACTGCTAATGGCAACACAGGAGTGACCATGAGCTTAATATAGCTCTCAGGATCAGCACTTAAAGTTCAGTGATCTTAATAATGCTCTCCCCGCTTTTCTCAAAACAGCAATGAATCAACTAGTGGTATCCATTCATCAAATTCTATCACAGATAAAATTCTCGTGGGGGAGTACTGCAACGTGTTTACCACTAAAATTATTCAATTCCAATTCACTAGTATATAAGACACGTTAATTTGATTCTATGTTGGGGTACCTTTTCATAAATGAAAATTGACATTGTCAAAAACGCAAACCTACAGTTTTCTAACATCACAGCTGTGGTATGTACAAAATATTTTGTCAGTGAGTGTTATTATAACTTATTTCCATAAAATAAATAAATAATATGGTCTAAAAACACAAGGCTTAATAACAATGAGAGAAAATATTTATAACTTAGAACAAAAGAGGAAACACTTACTTTCACCACCTCCCAGTCCACCATACACACCTAAACGTAAATCACGTAATTTTGTATCGACACTTTTCACAGGGTCAGTAGCATCTGCACTCCATGCAGAAAGCCATAAACTAGATCCAAGACTGAATGCTGTAGACAAAGTGTAACTCAAAATTGTCCAGAATGTGTTCCAGTAACCATAAGATTTCATGTAATCGACATACACAGATGCTTTAACCTACAGGGTGAAAGGAAAACACAAACATAAAATATAAATTCTCTAAATTATTTGAGTATTTTATTCAACTATACATATGGAATAAACTATATTCAATGCAGATAATATTATTCATAATTATACTGATAATATAATTTTTATTTAATATATATTTTAATTAATATGGATAGAAAAAAATTAGAATATTTGAATTGTAGATACATATTTGTTCCATTAGCTTACTTAGCAAGGAAAAATAAAGTTGTCACTCAACAAAGCTGCAACATTTACTTTTTTTGCAGATATTAAGTTCAAATTAAAAACTCAACAAGACCCCTATACAGCAAAATTCAAACTTCCCCAATTAATTTACTATATAATTTTAATTATCAGATTAACGAGACTCTACTTAGCAAGAAAAAAAAAATTTCAATTTGAAAAACTGAAGTATTTACCTTTTTTTACAAATTTATAATTTTAACTAACTGTTTAAGAAGACCCTACTCAAAAAAATCATTAATTCATCACAAATCATAATTCATCACAATTTTAATTACCAAATTCACAAAATTCTTAAAAAAAAAAGGAATATTTACCATACAAAGTTGTATAATTTACATTTTTCATAGCATATTTCAATTATCTAATAAACAAGACTATAACTTTAAAAAAAAAAAAAAAACTTTCAAGTTGTAATGTAACTACATTTTCTTTATTTGTAACTATATTACTTCAATTATCAGACCACTTAGCAAAATGTTATTAACTTACTTGAAGATGGATAATTTTACTTATATGACTAAAAAAAAAACTCCTAGTTATGCCAAAAAGAGCATTCAATTTTCAAAGCGCAGCATTACTTCTTTTTTAGCTGAATATTTTATAGATCTGATTAACAAAATAAGATTTTAAAAAAGTCTGCAGTTTAAAAAACAAATAAATTTTCTTCATTCATAACCTATTAATACTTCATTTAATTATCTGATTAATGGGAGTCCTTTCTAAAAAAACACTATAGCCAACAAACATTTGTCTTACAGATCCAACTTCCATTCCTTCCTTTTCTGTGAGCCTGGTTCCAGTTTTAGGCTTTTCTACAACAGATTTTTTACTGGCTCTCCGATGATAAGACTCTTTCCAACTTTTAGCTCTTTTACGCAGACCATCTCCAGACCCTATTATTGAAGGAGATCTTTCAGATTTTGCAGGGCTAGCTGTATCTGAATCAGTTCCATCACTTAGTTTTGACAGTTGTCTGAAAACATAATATGTTATTAATAATTAAAATGTAAAAAATTTAACTAAATTCCGAACAATAACTTTTTTGGCATTAAACAGGTCAAAGATTTTTTTAATAGTAAAAAAGAGTAGTAAAATTTATTCTGATAGTAAAATAAAGTCCTTTCATGATTAAAAAAATATGTAGACATTAGGGGAAAATTACATATTCAGGGGTCTATCCAGGCCGAATTTACTACCGTTTGGCGGCACTTTCACAAATTCAACTTTAGGAAAAATGGTAGTTTCACAAAAAACTTTTTCTCAAAATTTTATTTTTGTATCCCTTAAGAAACAATAAATCCATATTTTTGTGTTGATTTTTTAATATAATTTTTAATTTTTCACAAATTATGCTTAAATTTTCACAAAATAGGTACCTCTCAGAAAAACCTAGACCAAACCCTGATATTATACAAAATACAAAGACATAGATGTAATTAATCAGATGAAAGAATAGCTAGAAAATAAATTTGCCAAAAGATGGGAAAGCCCTGAAAATGAAGAAATTCAAGTAAGAAAGTTTTTTTTGTTTGTTTGAGGGTATTAGTGAAAGCTTTGAATGAATCTCCAATGGGAAATTATAAAAAAGACAGTCTGTTAGACAACAATTCAAAAGAAGTAGACTACAAAATCTAAAAATCCAAGAGAGATAAATATATCTTTGTGACAGATAATGAAAAGCAATAAAAAGAAAGAAAAAACCTCTGGGACAAAAAGTTTTCAAGGCAAATTACAACAAGATTATTAAACTCCAGAAAAATAAGGAATGTAAAATAAATAATACATATATATTGACATCATAATTTCAAATCAGGTATATCTGTTATAGCATGTAAATAAGAAAATGGTCTTCTTTTGTACAATTGGGAAAATGTAACTATTTCAAAATATATGTTAATTACTTTTTAATCTTTTCTTGAATACCGAAAGGAGGTAAGGTAAAGTAATGAAATAATATTAAAATAGCTTTAATTCAGCAAATTTATTTAAGTAAAATAAATGCTGCGATTGATTTTGATGAACAGATAAAGTATTAAAAGGATCATGTGTCATATTTTTTAAGGTGATGGCTAAATAATATTATAGGGGGAAGACATGTTTTCAGCAAAATTAGTGGAGAAATCTATGACCTTAGTTAAGTAAGATTTATTTCATATATAACTGATTGAAAATCGGCAATGTGTGACTTTATTGAATTAAAACATTTTTTATGACTAAAAATACACAGACTAACTAAAACCCCTAGACTGTTACTAAAAAACCTTTCTAAAGCTTATTATTGTAAAAAAAATTTTAATAAATCATACAATTTAAGCCTTTAACCAACTATATGAAATAAAAAAAAATCATATCAAAATAACTAACAGAGACATGCCAGAAAGTCATGATTTTTTTCTTCATAATGTTATCTTCAAATGCAAAAATAAGGGAACTAGATATAGTCCCTTATATGTAAACTTTTACAGCTAAGAGATTTATATACCTTGTAACTTCAGGTGGTACTCCTATGGTAGCAGCTATTTCTTGCATTAAATTCAATTCATCGAGTGGCATTTCCTCAACAGCTTCTTCAGCATTTTCTTGTAAATATTGAATGAGAAAATCAGCAAAAGCTCCTTTCTTTGCTAAAAGTTCACTGTATGAGCCTATCTCAGAAACTTTGCCATTTTGGAGAACTACTATTGTATCTACCTCTGGCAAGACACTTATTCGATGTGTGACAAGAATTCTAGTCTATAAAAGATGATCATCATTTAACAATACATAAATAAGAAAATATTACAAATGATGTGAAATAAAATAGACAATTCAAATAGCTAGCATCTGAACTTAAACAACTAAATTTATTTACTTTTTTTTTTAAATTTTCATAAGTTTTAAAAAGCCCCTAATAGAGATTTTGAATAATGTATTGTTTTTTAACATTTTCCAAAGTATAATAAAAAAATGAGAAATTTTTATGATCTTTTATGATATTTTCATGATAATTTTAAATTGACCTTTAAAAAAAAGTTTTTTTAAAAATTAATTTTAAAATGTTCAAATTCTCACTCTTGCAGAGTTTGATTGAATATGATTTAAGATTAATAAAAACTGAATATAAATGCTTAAAATATTCAAGAGATAAAAACTAGCAATTACTTTTGAATTCTGTCTATGCAATATTTTGTTAAAGACTGTCTAAAAACAGCAAAAACAATATTGAAATAATTAAAGGATAAAAATTGATGAATAGTCAAACTTACACAGTATAGTAAAATCCTTTTAGTTTAATAATTTAATGTATTAAAATATAATATAATTGTTGTTTAGTTTTGAACGTAAAAAAGGCAGATTCAATTATAAAAAAATACAGAAATACAAGTTTGGCAAATTTAACCTTAAAAAAGTAATAATAATAAATAGAAATACAGGCTTTATATAATCACAAATTTTGTAGTGGAAATTATCCAACTAATAAAAAGCTACCTTTTACTTAAAGTTAATGATAAAGCAATAAATAAATAAAAATGTTTAATATTTATTCCACAAAAAGGAGCGATATGCAGTTGCAGTCTTTCAACAAGAGCTTGCTAACATTTAAATGTTCTCATAAGTTTCACATTGTATATACCATAGCAAAACCATAATAGTTGATTTAATACACACCTTTTTCTTAAGAACTCCTTTTGGTCCAATAACCTCCTCAAATATATGTTTCCCAACATGAGCATCAACAGCACTGAGTGGATCATCCAAGTAATATATGTCAGCATCATTATAGACAGCTCTAGCTAAGCTTACTCTTTGTTTCTGTCCACCACTAAGATTGATACCCTGGAAAGTAAGTAGTTCTTTAATTTTGAATTTTTTCTCAATGTTAAAACATCCATTTATCTTTTTCCTGCCTTTCGCTTTCCTATATGCATCGTCTTGTTTAAAAGGTTCCATCAGCTACGCTATTCTGCTAATAATAAACATTTATATTCTTCTTTAAACTAACAAATTCCATTGTCTATTGTTCAGAAATTCTGCTATCGTTTAAAAAAAAGATTGAAGTTAATTTGTTTTGAGAAGAAAAATAGTAATTTTGATGCTAATTAGGGGTGATTGTAACACAAAGTTAAAAATCCTGAAAATTTTAAGTGCAAAAACTCACGTTACCAATTTATAAACTATACATGTTTACTAAGTAAGGTGAAACAACGTTTAAGAGCACAAAAAAAAACCTCAATTTGTATTTCAGCTTGGATTTTAAGAACACAAAAATACAAATCACTATATTTAATATTTAAATCGCATAAATACAAATCGTGATGTATTATTTTTTGAGCATGTTGAATACGAAAATCGATATTTTAAAAATGCGTGAATGCGAATTGCAACATTTGATTTTAAAAACACGTAAATAAAAATCATTAAATTGGATCTTTAAATAACTTAAATACGAATCACATGCAAGATTTTTAAATTGCAGTCAACAAATTTCATTTCAATTCAAAATGTGTAACTTTTAAATCAGGTAAATTCGAATACCGATGTCGGATATTAAAATCGTGTGAATATGAATCGCGATAATAGGTGTAATTTCAAATATTAAAAATGTTGAAAATCGGTGAATCCTAAAGAAACAAACTCGAAAAAAGAATAACATTTATGAAAACCTCTCTTCAACGTGATTTAGAGAAAGTTTTAAAATTTAAATTTTAGATAGTGGATTTTGGAGGATTGAAAGTTTTGATTTGCGGAAGTCCGTGCATCAATGGTCTTAAAACACACTGAATTATTCTTAATTTATGAAAAAGTCACACGCCTAGTTTTTAAGCCTAAAAGGATAATACGAGAAACCTGGAATACAATCACCCCAGGCCAATGATGTAGAAAATTAGGATTTGTTAAAATTCAGAGGAAATGCTCCAAACAAAACAGATGATTATGCATTTGTTGATGAAAATGCTAAAACTTGTGAAAATGACAGTTCAAGAAATGGTTGTGAAGCTGAAAAAGTGCAAAGTGAAGATGAAGAAACAGCACCACAACAGGTGCCAACATTTTTGATGGCCTCAAAGCCTTATAAATAATGAGAAATTTTCTGCAATCATTTAGTTAGAAAAAAAATAATTAAAAAAAACAGCAATTTATTACAAATGTTAAAAAATTTATAGCTTGAGATGCAAAGAAAAGAGTGCGTTCAAACTAAAATTTTCGAATATTTTGATTAAGTATTTGTGTTTATTCAGCTTACTTTTTGCATTAAGTACATCTTTTTTTCTAAATAAAATTTTTTGAATAATTAATTTCTGTATATTGTTTTTATTACTTTTTACATATTTTATTATGATATTTATCGTTGGCCCATGTTCGATTTCCTGTATCTATCGTTCCTAATGAATGGTCCCATGAGAAACAATAAATTGAAGTTCTACTGTATAACTATTAAAATAATGATACAAGGGTTGTAAATTAAATAGTGGCAACTTAACCTTGAAACTCACAGAAGGGCGGGCATGCGTAAATAGGGTATGGGTGCGGTGAGGTGGCGCTGTTGTCGATGTGTAGAGTGCAAAAAGCAGTCGATTTGCTTAGAAGGGTAGTTATTGCGTGGTGTTAAAGTGAAGAGTTTCGTTTCCATCGCTCTAAAGCATGTTGTAAAAAGGCTTAATGACGAAAAAAGACGAGATGCTTGAACCCATCATGCTACTGTCCTATACGGTAAAACATTTGCTCCACAGGCTTCCTTTGATCCTCGATAGCATTCTGTTGCATTTCTGCCACGGACAACCTCGATTGTAAGCCACGACAGCTGATCACCTTTTGAAAACATGCTTTAGAGCGATGAAACGAAACTCCTAACTTTAACGCCACACAACAACTACCCTTCTAAGCAAATCGACTTTTTTTGCACTCTACACATTGACAACAGCGCCACCTCACCGCTCCCATGTCCAATTTGTGCATGCCCGCCCTTCTGTGAGTTTCATGGTTAAGTTGCCACTATTTAATTTACAACCCTCGTATATTGAAGTTTATAATATTACATATTGAATTGAAGATTTTCTAATTTTTAAAATGAAATTGAGATATAACTTGTCATTTAGTTGTTAAAAATCAAAAATCCAAAACTTGAAAAATGTTTGACTGCATTTAAATTTATTTTAACTGTAAATTCATAAAAAAAAAGAAAAAAAAAAAAGGTTTTTATGCAGCTCAATATTGATTTATCAATAATTCACATTCAATTTTTTCTACATGCTTGGTAAAACTTTTGAGTCAATTTTAACATATTTATTAATATAAATGTAATAACTTTGTTCAATAATTGTGAAACTAGGATTATTTGACTAATGAATGCTAGGCTACTTCTTCTTTTTTTTAAAAAAAAAATAAATCACTATCTCTAATTATTCATTAGATTTTTGTCTACTGTATAACCTGGGTAACCGTTACGAAAGTTAAGTTTAGAGATCACAGCTAGAGGGGTAACGGTACACAATATCAAAAATTTTACGAAGTTAACACAGAATAAATAAATAAAAATCAGAAAAAAACAACACTAATTGAAATTAATAAAAGCACTGTTTTACTGTAATGTAATTTTCTATGTTACTTATACCATTTGAAAAATCAACAAGGAATAAATTGATTTTAAAAAATTAAAATATATCCATTTTAATATATTTTGATATATTAAAATGGATTATTAAAATATATTTTGAATATGCTAGTAGCATATTCAAAATTATGATAAGCACCATAAAATTAAAAAGAAAAGGTATTCAAAAAATAAATAAAACCCTTTAATGTATCAAAATCTATACTAACTTTTTCTCCTATCTCAGTTTGATCCCCTCCTGGCAAAATTTCTAAATCTTGAGCAAGAGCACAAGCCTCCAATACACGTTTATACCATGGCTCATCGTATCGCTTAGTAAAAAGAACATTCTTTCTAAGGGTGGCATTTTGAATCCAGGCTTGCTGTGGCACATATGCAATACTTCCCTGTTAAATAACAAATATTGTGTATATTGCTTACATTATATTATACAACATTGCATTGATTTGATACAGTACAAATCCACCTTCACTCCAGTTACAAGTGGATTGATTGATTTCAGAGATTAACAGGAAAAGTGATTACCAAACATTAATGCAAGACAGGAAAAGTGATTACCAAACATTAATGCAAGAAAATCTAAAAGTGTTTTCAACTATTTTGACACAAAAATGAAAACTAACTAGAGAGCCTTCAGGTAATGGAACCTAACATTACCTCTATTTTTTAGCTGAAAAAAAGTTAGCTATTTAAGAAGAAAAAAAAGAGAAAAATATTAGCATTATGAAAAAAAGGTCCAGTTTTTAAGATACAATTTCATTAAACTTAAATTACGTTTGCATACACATAAAATTAAGACATACATAACACAAATAGCATGTACCAGGAAATGAAACAAATTTTATCGTCAATAGTATCTTGAAGAAGAGACATCACGACATGTACTTTGTTATTGTGAGGTCTATTCTGCTCAAAGATTTGAGCATTTAGGGCAGAATTGTGTCAAAACCTGGGAACCGCAAGATGTTCCTGTAAGGTGCTTGTTGAATTTTATTTCAGCTACAGGGCTTTCATGCTAATCATGATTTAGGGTTTGGGTACAATAGACCTCTGGTCGATGTGCCCTGCTCTTTGGAGCTGCCCAACCTCTAAGTTTATCGCCAATAGTAGTAGAGTACTAGAGCTGCACAATGGGCTATTGGCAATTGTGCACCTCAGGAAAACCTCCCTAGTTTTGGAAAACATCCTGGAGGATGATCTGAAGATATGCCATCACACTTTTGATTCTCTGCAGAAGCGATGCCCTCCCCCCATTTAGTAGCCCAACAGACAGCTCGCAAAATAGGGCACTTTATACTAGAACAGTTTAACGAGGATCGATAACCCACATCTTCAGTCCCTTTACAAGTTGATAAAAGTGCGACTTGGCGAATTTAAATATATCTGATTGTACTTGAGAGATAAGTGGCTGTCTGTGGATCAAGAATTAAGAGTAATAAGAGAAAACATTTTCTTATATAATAGTGTAAATAAAAACAACATACCTTTACATTAATTCTTCCACACCACTTAACCATGTCACCAAGTAGAGCAGACAAAAGTGAAGATTTTCCTGCACCAACCTGTCCAACAACAGCAACCAATGATCCTTCTTTCACACTAAAGTTCAAATTAGTGAGGGTAGGAGGATCAGACTTTGTCCAAGAGAATGTGCCATTCTCAATAACAACAGGATCCCCTGTAAAATTCAATAAAATTTTAAGAAATTTATAATTTATTCAAAAGTAATAAAATCTATTCACATTAAAAAAATTTAAAGAAGATACATTAATGCACCAAAGCAACAGTTTACATATAACAATAAAAGATACAATTTTGACTAAGAAGGATATTTTTTTTTATTAGAATGAGCATCATAATTGTATTCTACTTCTATAAAATTGCATACATAAAATTATTTAAAATTTAATTTTACATAAATAAAGTAACCAAAAGTAGGTTTGTTTTTAAAGTTTTTCTAACTTTAACAAATCAGATAATTATACTACAACTTTTAATGAGGTATTAGCTCTACTTCTTTCATTCAACCTTGTACCACAATTCAAGAATGAAGGCAAACTATGATTGCTGGAACTTACTTTAAGTTGCTAGCTCACGCAACACTGCTATTTTGTATTAAAACAAGGATCAAATACAGAATCCAGTGTAAACAATGATGCTATCCAATTTAATAACATTAAGTATTGCAGATAGAGATGCATTTAAAAATAGTTTGTTTAATTCAAATTAGCTGTCAGCACTCACCAAACATGGAAACTAAAATTTAACTCAAGAATTAATAATGAATGCACTTATTGTACATGCACTCGGTTTTATATAATTTTCCTGATTAATAAAAAAAAGCACTTTTATGACCCTTTCAGTCAAAATTATTTGACCATTAAAGGTTTAATGAATCAATTAGTAAGGCAGTTATGGTTTTAAGTGACGAAGTAGCTTAACTTCTAAAATTTTTTTTGTATTTTGAAAATTCTATCAATATTTGTCCTACTTTGTAAAAAAATTCTTCCTATGCTCATACAAATTGGACAAAAGGAGTATTTTTATTGAGTGTAACATGAAAAAAAAGCCTCTTTTATCTACTTACTTTAAAAAAAAAAAAAGAATTGACTTTTTAAATTTAAAACACAGCGTAATATTACTAAAATATTGGTTGACAGTTTTTTAGGCGCCGAGTAATTTTTGATCCCAGATTATAACTAATAAAATATTTTATCTGAAAAAAAAAACATTCATAGTACAAAACATAGTTTTAACTTATCAAATAATTTAATGGTAAATTCGTCATAGAACTTACTTTCAGATTGATTATGTTCAATAATACTCTTATCCAATTCATCACCTTGTAAGTACTTGTTTATTCTTTTCAGGGATACTACAAACTATTAAAAGGTAAAAAGAAATGAATTACTATAATTTAGCAATCTTTTAAAATGTCATATATGAAATAGTGAGATACACTTACCATAGCAGTATATGTGATAATCATGGGGAGGAAAGCTGTTGGAAGCCGAAGAATGTTGAATAATGACAGAGAAACAAAAGCCTTATTAGCATCTAATACATTATTAGAATCAATCAAAACATACGCAGCGAAGCTAGCCAGAGAGACCTGAATGAAAAGAGAAAAAACTAAATATGTGCTATCAAAAACATAGAACGCCTTGAATTTATCAGTGGTTGGAAAAACTAGATTAGTTTTGTACTTTATTACAACGACTTTGTTATAAATATAGTTAGCTACAAAGTAGCTAGTTTTTTTGTTAAAATGTGGTGAATACAAACTACTTTCAAAATATACTGACTACTGCACTACTTTAAGGAAACAAACTTTGTTGGAGAACATAATTTGAGTTAAAAATGATTTTGACTTAAAAAAAAATTGGCTTATATAAAACATGAGGAATTATTAAGAAATATTTATTTATGTTTACATGAGCCAGTTTGTTATTCTACAATATAACATATTTCTCAAATTTGATCATTTAACTTTCAACTTTTTATGCTTTTTTTTAAAAGTAAATATTTAATTTAAAAAATGGTAGGAAATTATCAAATACTTGCAATTTTGTTAAGTGTTAAATGCTTTTTACTTCCTCTACGAAATTAAGTACATCGAAAATAAAATCCTCGCCTTTGAAATATCATCAATGTTTCATAAGCATACATTTGCATGTGAAAACATGACCATTATTCATAATGGCCAGTTTAACTATTAGTTACACATGCTTTTATATATGCAAAATTCTTGTTAAAAGTCAGCTACTGGGGCATTTTCATTATGACCATAAAGGGATCTGCAAAGATTTCTACCAAAAAATTTGACACATCAGCGTAAGAATTTTGTGTCGAAACTAAACTAAAGATAACAGTGGTTTAAAGAAATTGCTACAAACTACTGTTTTTTCGTATTGCACTACTCACTACGCTACTTTTTAAAAACGTAGCATACTACACTACAAAAAAGTAGTTTCCCTAGTTCAGTGTTTCCCAAACTTATGAATTTTGTGTACCCTTTCTAAATTTTTCGTAACGCTGTGTACCCCTAATAAAAAAATGAATGTATTTTTTACTACAAAAAATGCGCAAAAGTTAAAAATCACAACTGGCTGTTGACACCACTAATTATTAACTGTTAACTCTGCGAAAAATAGCCATTAGAAAAATACGTAATCGTAAATTTTCATGGTTAGTTTTGTTTTTAAATAAAAATTTTTGAAATTTTCATATGTTGCAAGATATTTCGCATAAGAACGCGTACCCCCGCTAAACTGTTCCCGTACCCCTGGGGGTACGCGTACCACACTTTGGGAAACACTGCCCTAGTTGAAGAGCGCTTCTTCCGACCACTGGTATTTGTTAAAACAATTTTTAACTGCTTATACAATAAGATACTTACTAGAAATGGAGCGGATGAAAATACAAAAGTGATGGCACCATTCAAATAAGCTTGCGCCCTCAAACTATCTACTTCTCTGTTTCTTATCTTCATCACTTCTTTAATGAAAGAATTTTCCCATGCATACAATTTCAGAACTTTAATACCATTCATAATCTCATTCATCAATTTAGTTCTTATATCTTTTTCTTTCATCAAGCTTACCTAAGAAAGTAATTAGTTTAACTACATTAATATATATATATACACACACATAAATAGAGTTAAAGTCTGCTATAAAGACAATTCACAACAGTTGATGGAATCGCAGTAATAGTGAGCTTGTGGTTAAGAGAAAAATAAACCTATTTAATATTAAAACAGCAAAAAAAGATAAACCACGTGCATCTTTTAAACTTTTATTTTTAACAACAATTTTGATTTTAAACACAAATCTCGAGTAGAATGCTTTTGTCAACAAGTTGTAGATTGGAATGGAAGTTTTGGCATTATACAAAAAAAAAAGCGTAATAAAGTATGCAACTATATAAAAGCAAATGGATACTTAAAATTAGCAAAAGAATTTGTTTCTCGTAAGGAGAAAAACCTTTTACGAGACAGTCGTCACCAAAAATTTTTGTTTTATAAACATAAAGTTTTAAGATTGTAAGAAGAATATATGGTTCACTTTATTGATACTAGAACTAAATAAAAATGTCTTCCATTATGGCTTTTAATCTTATAATATTGCTCAAATGACCAGTGAAAAAATGTGCTTCTGTAAAAAAAAACTGCCACAGTTGCAGGAGGCTGGTAATATTTATCTCATAATAAACATACAATTTTTGTATCTTTAACATCAACATTTTGATGGTGACTTAAAAACCTGTTAAAATAGCAGACTTCTTGAAATATGCCATACTTTTTACATTGAGTATTTACAGAAAGGAAGAATTAAGAACTTATTAAAAATGAAAATTATCAGGTAATTAGAAAAGTCAGAAAAAGCTATAAAAGTCATTTCTGATGCATATAGCATAATACCTATGTTAGAAAATGGCAATCAGATTAGTTAAAAATATCAAAATAGTGAGATAATTCCTAGATTTGGAATAAATTATATTTGAAAGGCTTAATAAGTAACAAAATTTCTTCTTCTTTCATCAGCATGACAGCCTAGAACAGGCCAGATCCATCCTAACTAGTTCTCTCCATCAGGCTCGATCAGACACTACGTTTCACCATTTATTGATTCTCATGGTTTTAAGATCTTTCTCACACAGAATCAATCCAAACAAAATTTAGTAAACTATAAATACTTTTATTCTTTTCTTAACAGTCAATGTAATGACTAACTTTTCAATTCGATACAAGTGTATCTCATAAATTCAGTGTCGTGACAAAGCGAATATCAAAACTTAATTTAATTTTTAAGCTGCTTTATTTCTCTAACCACAAAAATGTTCCTTTTACAGGGTTATATTAAATTTTAACGGTCTTTTTGAAGATTAAGATGTAGACAGATTGTTTAACATTTAATATTAATAAGATGGGGATGGTTTTATTACCCATTGATAACTCGACAAATTTCGCATCTCTTCCCATGTTTTGTTAGCAACTACGACTTTACTGGCAATTTTAATTTCTTGGCTTTAGGAATGCAAGGGGTGTCCGACTGCCCCTCAATCTAACCATTAGAAAGTGTTACAATATTTTTATAAAAATGGATGCCTAAAAAAAAACTTGTCTTTGTCTCAGTTAAACATATAGTATAATATTTTGTTAACATAATATTTTTCTAAGTAATAAATGTGGCCATGTTTGCTAATTTTGAAAATGCTGCCTAATAAAGAAGAATGATTTTCGTTGTTTGATCACACCTTAGCAATTTCCCTATTTTAGTACAAAGGCAATACACAAAATTTATGGCTTAACTATATGGCGTGATATTAACTAAATATACTTACTTGAAAGTTTCGAATGAAAACACTAATAGTGCCATTGAGAGGTATCATGAGTATCATTACACTTAAGCCACCTAAAGTAGCAATTCCTAATTGTTGCCATAAGAGATAGATAGCGACACCAATTTGAAGGGGAGCAGACCACAGATAGTTAACCATCTGAACATAATCCATCACTCTTTGGGTATCAACAGACATTAAATTTACTACTTCACCCACAGTGAAATTCTTCCTGGCCGAGTTTGAAAGAGTCAAAGCCTGAAACAAAATTATTCTTAAGTATTCATTTTTATTAATATAGTAATGCATCATATGGATGGGGCACTGACAGAGCCGGATTATACCTTTTGTAGGCCCTATGCACAGCCGTTTTTGAGCCCTCCCCTCCTTCCCCCCTCTTTTCAAAATATATACTGAAATTTTCTTGCATATTTTTTTTAACATTTTTATTAATATGGATTTTAATTTACAAATTTGTTTATCGAACTTTATCTGCAATACTGACATACTGCCGATTTTTCAGTTGATATTGATAATACCATTACGATTAGTTCGATCGATAACTATGTAAACACTTCACGTCAACAATACAACAACAAATCAGCAAAGAAAACAGTGAAATTGATAGTGAGATTAATTACAAGAAATATTTATACTACAAATAGCTTCATAGTTTTCATGATACTACTATGATGACTAAGTGAAGGAAATTAACATTGTCAAAAGTAAATCTTTTGAAATTATGAATGCAGAAGGAATTATGAATGCAAAATTATTATTGAAATTATGAATGCAGAAGGAATTATGAGTGCAAATGCAGAAGGAAAAAGATTTTTCTCCAGATTAAAATTGATAAAAAATTATTTGCGTTCAACAATGAATCAAGATTGTTTGGCATCACTCGCACTTATGTCTATTGAATACGACATTTTGCGTAGTTTGGAATTCGACAGCTTAATACAAGATTTCGTTGAACCCAAAAATAGCAAAAAAGTAATATATTAGATCATAAGATTCTGTAAAATAATTAATTACCGAAAAATATTATATTTTTATTTGTATCTTCATAATTTTGTGCAAAATACACTTGTTGTTTTTAAAGCTAAATTATTTTTGTCAATAAATTTTTTTGTCCCAAGTTTTTCGTAGGCCCCTGAATTCCGTAGGCCCAAGGCACGTGCCTAGTGTGCCTATAGGTCAATCCGGCCCTGGGCACTGAATGTAAACAATAGCAAAATTCTAAAAACAGTAAGAAACTGCATTCTTCCGCTTCTGTTATGTATACAAGGTGACGTTTGATATTCTAGGAAGTTTTATTATTGGGATTTGGGTTTAAACTTATGCATGATTTTACCATTCATAATAATTTTCTGCAATTTATAAATTATAAAAGATTGTGATCCTTAAATTAATTTGATAAAATTGACATCACGACATAAATAAAGACATTTTAATAAATATTATAAACAGCAGTAATATATCGTCCCTGATGCTGATTCATGAAAAACATTAAAGAAGATAAATTTCTAAGTAAATTTGGGGGGAGGGGGAAGCAAAAGAACAATAGCTGCTGAGCACTTAGACTTCATAGTAACTATTTTTCGTGCATTTCCAAAAAGACTTTTAATTATTGTAAAGAAATTGAAAATAAGAAAATTTAGAAACTAGACCATGGACTAGTTACTAAATGATATTACTAGTCCAGTCTCATTGCTCTGCTTACATGCCACTTATAGATTTTTTATAAAAATAAAATTAATAAAGTGAATCTAAATGAAAAGTTACAACTCAAAGAATGTGCAATGTTTACAATTACGATGAAATATGCTATTTTATGGCAATATACAGATTAAAACAGAAAACGAAAAAGCCGAAACTGCTTACCTTCCCTTTACGTAGTTTTCTAGTCGTCCTGATTACAATTAGAACATACTGATTTTTCTTATAATGTGAAGAAAAAGTACCTCGCTTAATATAAACTAGAATTATATAAGCCACAAAAATGTCCTAAAATCTCGAAAGCAGAAAAAATTTGCACTATGATTTAAAATATAAAGTTACCTTTTTATATACAACTGAAATGACACAGGATCTTATTCTCATGGCTATGATATAAATTCTATATTCATATTGACCGTTCAAAAAAGATTCCAGCATTGAGGAGAGAAACATTCCAATAGCATAGACCACTCCCATCCAATAAGGATCATTGCTTCCAACAAAGGCAATAACTTTACTATAAATTAACAGAGGTGGAACTAAAATTAGTATGTTAAAGAAAAAGAAAGAACATTGTGTAAAAAAAAGAACATCATTCTAAGGATATTATAAAAAAGGGACATTAGAATTATATCTCATTTGATAATATACACTAAATATATATAAAAAAAAAAGAATTTTGAATTATCTTAGAATAATAGAAATCTAATATATTGATAATACAGCTGATACATATCATTTAACATAATGTACTTTTAATGCATCATTTTACGATTTTTGTTGTTTTGTTTTGAAAATAATTTGAATTACAATCGCAATGTAAAATAAAATTTATTTTAACAATCTCTTAGCAAAAGTTCTTGAGGTGCATGCATAGAATACAATAATTTCAAAAATAGAAATAATAGCAACAAGTCATTTAGAAAATGAACTAAGGTGTGTTTCGAATGACAAGCATAAAAATCATTTACAAAGAAACATTCATTTTCCGAACTAATCCGTTTAAAAATGTAAGAAAAAATTAAGATATATTTATAAAAATATATATTCTGAATTTGTTGTAGTTGACATTAGTTATATAAATATTTCAAAATACAAATTTTTTTAACCACATGTATTTTCAAATTTAAAAAATGGGAAAATAAATCAATGAAAAAAAAACAGTGAAGTTACAAAAGCAAAGAAAGCAAGAAAACAGTAAAAGTCACAACTTAAAACATGAAAGCATTTGACATTAAGACATTTTTTAACAGTTTTTAATAGTTGTAATATGGGAATGTATTTCAATTTTTAATATGACTGCAGAAAAGGAAAATAATTTTCTGAAAAGTGTAATCATAATAAATAAATTGAATATTTTTTTAATCTTATACAGATTTAATAAAACATAAACAAGTAAAATATGCATTTTAATAGTTCCAAAATAGCATACACGCAAAATAAACATTATGAAATAAATATAATAGTTTTAGTTTGTAATAGAAAAGCACAAATTAATGAATGTATTACAATTATTAAGTTTAATGAAAATTTGTTTTTGGTATGTATTTTACCTTGTCTGTTTTGACCTAGACAAATAAATTTCTAGAATGTAATAGGGAAATAAAGAAAGAATAAACACTATCAGAATTTTTCTATTTGTTTAACTAAGATGTTAAGCATGATGAATAAAAAAGTAATAAATTTAAAAATTAATATCCTAAAAAAAATTAAACTGGATATGAAGACTTTAGTTGAATAGTAAGCCAACTCTGTCTGAGAAAGTAAATTTAGTATGTCTAAATTTCTTGTTTTTACAGGTAATTTTCATTCTATCTCATTTTAAAACCAGTACATCTTCTTTAGCTTATTTTCACTGCCAAACAGAAGGCACCAAAACTTATACAAAGTGAAAAAAATAATTAATATACTTGCTAGACAAGGTGAAAATTATATAAGTTAAAATAATCTACATATTCAAGTAAAATGTGTAATTACAAAACTAGCTTAAATAGAAAGGACATAGGATAATCCTGTAAAGTTGCCCAGACATAATGTAAAGAAAGCACTATGAATTTTAAATAAATCAAAAGAGTAAAGTGTATATTAAATTTAAAAATTCCATAACTGTTAAAAATATAATTTGCATTTCAAAAATGCCATTATAAAATATCAAGCTCTCATAAAAAGAACATATAGGTTACTATCACTATACTAATATATTTTATTATATTTTTTAATAAATAAAACATTATCTTTTGAGATAAGGAAATAATAACATTACTAGAGAAAAATTACAAACTTTATTTACACATATATAGAAATAACAATTAGGAGTAAAAAATTATGAAACAAAAATGAATACTTACTCCAAAATTAAAGGATTCACAAATGTGATAAGACTAGAAAAGAATTTCAATGATCCTGTAAAAAATAGCTGCCATCCAAATACTTTAAGAATAGGTTTTAAAATACTGAGTTTTGGTAGTTCTTTATCCAATTCATCAGGTGAAATAGTCACTTTGCATTCATTGTCATCAGTGGGCATTTCTGAATATCTTCTAGAGAGTTGTGTCTTTACTTTTTTTTGATGACTGAAAAATCAAAGATAAAAATTTTAAAAGGTAGTGTATTTCATTTGAAAAATAAAGAAGTAATTTATAGGACAAAAGACAGTCTTGATAGATGAAAAAAAAAAGTTTTTTTTAATTTAATACAATGAATGAGAAATTTTAACAACATGTAAAGTTAATTAAAAACCACTCTAAAATAACATTATAGATATATTACATTGTTTCAGTCTTTATTGTGATTAATTACAAAAAGCAAAGCATTTATTGCTTTCATTTACCTCCCTCCCCCTTATAACTTAAATTCTGTAAAATAACTTCCTCGAAAAAACAGTATTAAGAAATGAAAAAAAATTTGCTTTCTTTATATTTCATCTGGAATTAAACAAACAAAAAATTCAAGAACTTTTGAGTTACAGTTTTTTATCTCCCACTTTTTAAAGCTTAAATTGTTTTAATAACATTCTGAACAATAGAAATTTAGAAGTTAAAAAATTTTCTTGCATTCTCTAAACAGGATTAATCAAAGATATTTTTATAATATTTATTTATTTATTAAAAAAAACTTTTGACTGAGATATTAATGAAAAATTACTGGTGGAAATATATACTTTTTCTATTTCCTCATTTTTATTCTTTGATTTCCTTTAAACTATTAAAAAAAAATCTGAATGTAGAAATCAGGAAACTTTTTTACATTCTCTAAAAATTATTCAAAATGAAACGAATATAGAAAGCAATTTATGACAAAGGAATTATAAGTTTAAATTATTCTAAATCACTCAAGTTTAAATTTTTTAAAAAAAAGCTAACAGAATATGTAATTGTTTTTTGTTATATTACTGCATAAATTTAAAATAAAATGAAAACTTACTTTAAGACTTTATTAACCAAAGGTAGCCAATATTTGTCAAATTCTGCTTGTAAGTACTTCGAAGTATTTTCTTCTGGAAGATCCCACATATCATCTGCAGTCAAAGGTTTCCTGTAGCCTAAAGCAGCCATGCTGAAATATATAAAAAATAAAGTTGAAGTCTGCTTTCAACAGAAGAAAATAAGATTTTTTTTTCTAGCTTTAGAAACAGATAAAACTATAAGCATAATCTTCCCCTAGAATTTGTTGTATACTTACGGATTAAACCAAAAGAAGGTTATTTGAGACCAAAAAGATGCCTTTTCCTCAGGAGATTCTCTCTAGAAAAAGATAAAAAACAGTTAGATTTGCAATTTATGACAAGTTCAATAAAAGACAAGTGTGCAAAATTTGGAATAGTTAGATATAATTGGATAGGATAAATGCACTCCTGCAGCTGCTAGTTGTCTACCAATGGTTGCTGTTGACATATGCCATTAAGGCAGAGGGGGTGCGATTGTTCTTGTTTTCCAGTGGCGCCATCTATGGCCAAGAATTCGACTTCTGCCACACCCATACGTCACACCCGTTTATAGGGTAGATCCATTCATCCTCCACGAATCATAATTTTGACCTGAATCAGAGAACGATCAATCTCCAATTCAGTACCCCCAGAGGTATTGATTTGTTATGGGAATATGGAAGATTTTGAGACGCGACAGATTTAAAGTGCATCAGTCACCATTTACTACACGGGGAGTCTTCGGCCGGAAGGGATCGAACCCACGACCTCTTGGACATGGGCCCAGTGCTCTACTAACCAGGCTATCGCCAGCCGTCTGCCAATGGTGTAAGGAAGATTAAAATACAATTTCAAGACAAATGGCATGAGTGTTGCATTAATAAAAGCATTGAGTATTAGCTAACTTTTTTTCCCAGATATATTAGTACTCACTCATTTGAAGCTGACAACTCCCAATATATTCGATAGTATAAAAATTGCATTTTTATTTTTATTTTCAAAAGTTTTCAAAAATTAAATGGTTCAAGAACATAGTAGATTTTAAAAGTATGGCTAAATTAGAAATTTTATTGATATCCATGTTAAATTTGTAAAAAAAAAAATTTAATGTTTATAAATTAATAAGATAAATAAAAACAATTTGAAACATAAATAAAAGCTTTTACCTTATTATGGCACGTGTCATAGCTATTAATAAAGCTTTTATTGTTATGTGAAATTAAATTTAATTTTTTCCCTAAAAAATATTAACTAAAAAAAAAAGCACAAAGTTATTTTCCGAAAAAATAATATTTGTCTGAATAGTAACTGAATGAAACTGAATAAAAACAAAAATATATATTTTTGTGTTATTAATTCTGATTAAAATAGATATTTTATAGCTTGGTAAGAGATTTAAAAAGTAATAATTTTGGGTAATGCAAATTTTTAGTACTATTCCAATTTAATCTTTTAAAATAAAAACTTTCTTCTTATTTTTATTTAAAAAGCAATCCTGTTCATTATTAATTTAATAGTTGAAAGATTACATTTTATATAAAACACAATTTAAAGCAAAATTATGTCAGATTTAATAGTTTTTTCACATTTTTAAAACTCACTCTCTATACCTTTAATTAATATATTAATAAATTACTCAAGTTATTTCCTTAAGTTTTATGCATAAACAAATTAGATGAAACAAATGTGCATAATGAAAAACCATTTGTAAAATATTTGTTATTATTTGGTGCAATATGGCAATTTTTCTATCTCGTTAAAATCATGATCAGGATAATTTAACAAAAGAGGTATCGTAACAAAAATCAATCTTAAATTTTTAAAATTTTTTTAAAGCTAATGATTTAAAATGTCTTTTGAAAAAGAAAAAGCTAGATAGAAACCATAACAAAAATCGTTCTTAATTTTTAAACAAAAGATTTATTGTTAAAAATTTTGATTTAATTTTTAACAATAATTAAAGTGATTGATTAGAGTGATGATTTTAAAGTGACCATAAAAGAAAAACGTTCTTTAGAAACACATTTTAAAAAATTTTGTCTTAATTAAAAGCGTTGATAAAAATATAAAAAGAAAAGCTAATAAAAAAATCAAAAGAGAAACAGAAAAAAAAATGTTCTTAGTTCTGTAATATAACTATAAAGTTGGGAATCACAGTTTTCTACATTACTAGTTATCTGTCTTACCATACAAAAAAAAAGTGACAATAAAGGAATAAAGTCTATTATAAACACTTTGGTAACACACTTCGCTTTAGTTAAAACAGATAAAGAAGCAAAAATGAAAAATCTCAGTTTTTCAAACATAAAGTGTTGAAAATACAAAAAAAGAAAAAATCAATATTACAAACTTATGGTTCAGTATAAAGTAATCTAGAGTTTTAATTCTTCAAATTTCGCTTTTCTGAGTGTCTTTCAGAACATAAATTATCAAGTTTCAGAACTTAGGAAATATGTGCAAAAACTGTTTCTAACAATGTATAGTAAAAAATACGATTTTTGATTTTTTAAATTAAATCTGTTAAAACTTACCCCCCAAAAAAACTGTTAAAAAATAATTTTTGACCAAATATGTCTTATTTCCATAAAGCAGATCAGTGTGTAAGTGTTCCAACAAATTAAAAAAGATAATAATAAATTTTTTCCTTATAAAAACAAACATTCTAAGCATTTTTTTTTCTGCACTTTTAGTCATTTAGTTATCAAAATATTTTAAGGGATTCTATTGAAATAATGTTGGACAAACAAAAATAAATTATTCCTATTTATATATTAACTTTCTATGAAGCAGTTCATAATGTAAGTTTTCTGACAAATTAAGAAAGACAATAATAAACTTGTTCCTCATAAAATCAGAAATTTTAAAATTTTTTTTCTTTTTACATCTTTAGTCACTTTGTTATCAAAATATAAAAGAATCCTCTTTAAATAATGTTATACTGTCAAATCAAGAAAAAAAATCTTATATTTTAACAGTATGAAGCAGACCATTAAATAAGCTTTCCTACAAAAGATATAATAAAATTTTTCCTCATAAAATCAAGTATGCTTAATTTTTTTTGTGCCCATTTATATAAGTATTTGTTACATAACAAATCATCACTAAGTTTTTCCACAGTCTAAAAGAAAACTAGACGAAAAGAAAAGACTGGAAAACCCTAAATTGTTATTCCCAGAACACAACATGTTACATAATTTTTGTATCTTTAATTACTTTAGAATCAGAATAAACAGCAATGCTTAAAAAAAAATAATAATAAATAAATAAATAAAAACACTATATTTAAAATAATAATTAAAAAAAAGTTTGCAATTTATTTTAAGCATAAGAGCTATTTATATAAGCCTTGACATAAGGTATTTATATAAGCCTTAACATAAGCTATTTATATAAGCCATTGCCATGCAACAGATCATTATATAAGTTTTTATCATAAAAAACAAAAAACACACTTTTGTTAACAGCAATTTTACACTTTCTATAATACAAAGGAAATTAAAGCAGCCTAGATAAGATAACCTTATCAATAGTCCCATTTCTAACACTGAATGACACAAATTACACAACAAAGAAAAATTAAGCTTTAACTCAACATTTTTCTAAATTATATTTTACTTACTTAAATTTCATAAAAAATGTAATAATAAATTTCGGTAAAAAAAATTAGCAGCAAAATTCAAAGATTCTTCTGAAATTAATAAATTTAAGTACATAAAAACAACAGTTTAATTATCCATTTTAAATGTTGAAATAGGGTAATTAAAGAAAAAAACCTAGAACTAACAACCATAGTTTTCCTGAGGTAAGTCTAGGGTACCAGAATAAAAGTATAAAAAACGTTTTAGAAATTATAACAACTAAACTATTAGTTTACCTGCCTCAAAACTTCTAATAAAAACTTCTTAAAAAATAATCTTAAAATAACTTTAAAAAGGAAATTAATTTTGTTTTTCTTATTTACTTATACTTTCAGCTTCATTTTAAGTTTCATATGATGAATTAATATATTAAAATTATAGTAACTGTTTTTGCAAAAAATATATATGCAATTAGAAAGGTTTCATAAAACTCAGATATATAATATTTATCTAAAAACAATTTTCACTTAAAAACAATCACAACTTAAAAGCAATAAAATTATTTCACCATTAAAATGCTCATGGTCTGTGTCACAATAAATAACATAGTTTAATCTAAAAATCAATTATTTTTTAAAATGTCAAAACTTAATAAAAATTAAATACATAAATAAATAAATTTCATTGAAATACTATAAATCATATTTTTATAACTGAAGTACAGTAGAACTCCAATTATCCGAATCGTCGATTATCCGAATCTCTTTCAGAATTCGTATGGAAATATGAAAATATAGTAAAAAGATAAGTTTCTCTTTTTTTATATGAATAAAATAAAAGTTTAGTAAAGCCAAGGAAAGATTTATGCAGAGAAAGTTTACAGGATAGGACAAAGATTTGTGGAAAAGCTAAGATCTTTGCTGAAAAGCTGGGTTATTTATCTTTCAAAGCAAGTAACGGCTGGCTAAGGAATTTTAAGTCTAGGCGCGGTATTCGTGAGCTTGATTTAAGTGGTGAAAAGTTATCTGCAGACTCCAAAGCTTCTGACGAGTTTATTGAAAAATTTAAAGTTATAGCAGCCTCTTACGATTCCGACTTCTTATACAACGCCGATGAGACTGGTCTAATATGGAAAGCTTTACCCAAAACCACTTTAGCCTCTAAAAGAGAGTGCAGTGCCAAAGCCTCCTAGTGCTCCAGGGCATAAAGCTAGTAAAGACCGCGTTACTGTGCTTAACTGCCCGAACTCAACTGGGAGCCATAAAATACCCCTTCTGTTAATAGGGAAGTCAAAACGCCCAAGAGCATTTAAAAATGTCAAAAAACTTCCCCTATTTTATAAAAACCAATACAAAGCTTGGATGACTGCAGCACTGTTTACAGAGTGATACGATGAAATTTTCATTCCTGAAGTGAAAAAACTCCAAAAATCTGTTGGAAGTCCTGTGCTATTACAGTACTTTACTTTTATTACTAAAAGGAAATACCTGAGCACTTTCAGATGTAAAAGATTTAAGTTCTAAAAAAATACACAAGCTTGATATGGCTGTATGACCAGATTCGTTTCTACACATGATCTCTAAAAAATTTTGATCCCCCCCCCCCCCNCCCCCCCCCCCCCCCGAAAAAAGAAAGAAAAATAAACATGAAAAGGTTTATATGGCTGCATTGCAAAATCTGTTTGTGTGAGTTGCAAAAGATATGAATTCATAAAAAAAGAAAATAAATAAAACATGAGCCTGATATAGTGCTGCAAAAGATGTTTCTGCATGATAGGAAAAGTTTTATTTAAAATGAAAATAGGAAAGTTGGGGTTTCAAGCGCGATTTTCAAAAATTGATTAGAATTACAATTCATATATGAAGTAAGTGGTCGTGAAATAGAAAAACAACAAAAAGGAGTTTATAAAAAAAATACTAACTTTAATTTCACCGTGCTGCAACAAGAATTCATAATCCTATTGTTAGGTAATAGGACTTAATACCAAGATAATACTCGGGTTTAATACCAAGTTTAAATTAATTTAGTTTAACCAAAACAAAAAATATAACAAAAGTTCTTACTTCGCTAGTTTTTTCTTTCAGATCTGCAAAACCATGAAACACGAATAGAGTAAACGAAAAGGCAAAGTACAGCACATACATTGTAAAAGGATACTGTTCAAACTCTGCATCAAAATTAAGATTCTATAAAGGAATAAAAAAACATTTCTTTTAATAGTAAATACAAAAAAGAGAACTTGGTCTCAATTTAATAAAAACTAAAGTAATTGATAATACCAAAGAGTTAAAAGATTGTACATATAAATTTAAACTTAATCACAATACCAATTTAATGTCAATCTCGGAAAAAAAGTTAATAAAACACGTAAAAAACGCATAAATGAGAAGTTATGTTTTAAAAAGAAATGAATAAAGAGATACTACATAACTATAAAGATATTTGAATAATAACATAATGAAAATATGATTGATTATAATAATAGAAATAAACTAAGAAGATAATTATGGCCAATCACCTCTAACTTTTGACCACCCCGGTAGAAAGTCACATAATTTTGACCCTGATAAAGTGAAACGAACAACATCAGAGTTGCTACACCTCATTCTAAACTTCTGCAGCAACAACAGGACTTTAAAGCATGAAAGCTATGCTTCTTGCTGTGTGTACAAGACAATTATTTAGTTTGCCACCAAGATTGAAATCATGACCCCCAGCTCATTAGCAGTGAAAGGAAGGAGTTATGAGTACAAATCCCAGCTATGGTGGCATCCTAATCAACTGCACCTCTGAATAAACTTTTTCATTAAAAATTACATAGCCTAGCAAAGTTGCATTAAGAAAAATAGAAGACCAGGTTTTTTTTCTCCATTGTAATAAAGAGAAGAGATTGTAATAATTTAATATGAAGATATTGTCAGTAAAATAATAAAACAAATTATAGAATTTAAAATCATATCAAAAGATTGATATTAGCAATTTTTAAATAGTGAATAAAATTTTTTTATTTCATTTACAAAAGCCCTTCCAACCAACTACTCATCATTTTGTAGAAACAATAAAGAACAAAACTAAATAAGAAATCTTGCAAGATAAAATTTTTTTAACTGCTCATAGAATCAATTCGATGGCAATCATAACTAATTTAACAACTTAAACTTCTAAGTAATAGTAGTTTAATTACCTAAAATTTATACTTTAACTAACAAACAAACCTCATTATAAAGTTTTTGCAATGAAGTGTAATAACCAACAGCAGTTCCAATGCAAGCGAAAAGCCAAAACAGTGATAATACGGCAGAAGTGATCCTTCCTTTTTTTCGTTGATATAGTGTTACAAAAGCATTCGCAGCCTGTAAATAAAAATATGTATATAAGTAACAAAAACTTTATACTATTAAGCAATGAAAAAGTAAGATATTTTACTAACCAGTGTCAGAAAAAGAAGAAATGGAGTGTAATACTCAAAAGGTGCAACATGGCCTGTCTTTGAAAATTGTACCATTTGATAAGACATGTCACCAATTGTGAGAGCCATCATTAAAAAAATTATCACCTGAAAAGGTAAAACAAAAATTTATAATAATAATAATGATAAAATTCCACAAAAATTTTTATATTAAAAAGAAGAATACAAAAATTAAAACACAAAGGTGCCAACTTGAACCACCACTGTTTTTTCAAAGATAAAAGACTTTTTTTTCCTTCTTTGAAAACAGAGAATGTTGGAACAACTTCCTGTAGTTATATGAAGAGATTGGAATTAGATGGTATGCTCAAACCAGCTCTTAAAATTAAAAAAATTAAAAATAGTACTAAAAACATACACTTTCCTTGAAAAATCCTATAAAATGTAACTGAGCTGGGCAAGCTTTTGTAAAATAAAACATAAATGATACACATGAAAAAATAATGTGCATTGAAGAGTTAAATGCAACTTATCCTTCAGAATTATGTATTCAAGAAATATACATCTGAAAAAAATATTTTTAACTCATGTTGGTAGTGTAGTGTTCTCCCTAAAAATTGCTTCAAGGATGGCCCACCCTCCCAGCCTCTTCATGAAGACAATTATCTTTATGAAGAGGCAAGCAAAGACATCCCCTTACTCTTTTTGTAAACACACTATAATTCTTACTCCATTTTTTATTTCAAGAAAAAAGACAGCACATTTATAAATATTTATTTAACTTTAGATTTAAAACTCTACTAAACAAGTTGACATTTCTTTTTGGAGAAAAATAAAACAAATAAAACCATAAAACAAACTGAATGCTAAATGCAAAAAGAATTGGAATTTTGAGCTAAAATGAGTTGATAGAAATAGCTTTACAGTGATTTAGAATATTGCATTTTTTTAAGCAATAATATTTTAATTTCATATAAAGATATTATTAAATATTATAATTTTCTTCAAAACTTTTGCAAGATTAAAGACTTTTTTTGATTTATAAAATTTTTATTGCTAAATCAGCAATTCTGAATGTTTCATTTAATTATTTAAAATTTTAGTTATTAATATATAATTTTAAATTAAAGTTCTGCTTGCTAATTTTTTTTTTTTTTTTTTTTAAGTAAAAGTTAATATAAGTGCTCACCAAAACTGAAGCTGTTCTTTTTTTCCTTTTTAATTGTAGGACTCTTTTTTTCAAGGGACTTAAAAACAGTTCAGTCAATGAAACTTAAAAACAGTTACCATTTACCTGATTAATGATGTGCCATATCACAAAATGAAAAACTACATAATAACATAATTTTAAAATAGCTTCCATGTTTCTTTTGGGACTAGGTAACAGTTTCTGAATGGTTACAAGTAAAAAATTATTGTAAATATCGCATTCCGATTCATTTGCACATTGGTCATACAGCATAAATTAGAATTGGAAATTTTCTTCCAACATAAGCTGAATATGGTATTACTATCTATAAAACACTTTCTGACTGAAGGCCTATATTCTAGAAACCAATTTTACATTTCAACAGTCAAACTGAGGCATGCCCTCTAACCTCAAGAGACGCAGAGACAACAATTTTTGAGAGAAAAATTCTATGAAGTATTGTGGTAGAACTCAGGTAGACAGCTTATGACAAAAGCAAATTAATTTAGAATTACTTAAAATCTTTAAAAAGTCTGATGTCAAGAAATGTTTGAAAATCCAAAGCATAAAATGGATCCGATATCTGGTTAGAATGCAGGATGATTGAAACTGTTGAAAACTATTCATAACCAAAAATTGGAGGACAGTCTCCAAATGGAGATGTCTGGGAAAAACTTCTGAAAAAGGCCAGGGCCCACCTAGAGCTATTGTGCTACTGAGGAAGAAAATTCTCACTTTTCACTTAAGTTTATTAATACTTGGTGCAATCTCTCATTTGAACACTCCTTGTACTCTTGATGACCCTGAACAGTATTCTCCACAGTATTTGACATTTTACTTGTGTACACATTAAAATTATACTGCTTAAAATGATACATTTTCACTGTATTTAAATACTTTGCACTTGGATTAATAAATTGCAAGAAAACCAAGCACCAAATTACTCAAACCATATTAAATCACAGTAACTAGTTAGCATTCTTTAAAAATAGCATATTTTAATTACTAAAAATCATACCAATTTTGAAATGTTGAGAACAGACCACGGAATCAATTTCTTTTTCGTACTTGAGATAAAATAAATTTCTAAGGGAATGAACAGCCAAAAAAATGCGACAGGCGCCCATATTAAACCAACTTTCAAGAAACATGGTGTAAAAAGTGGTACTGTAGTGTTCCATGTTAAGGAGGGATCCTGAAAAAAAAATTATATACATTTTAAATGCTTCAATCAAACTGAATATAAAAATACAATATAAGCACACAATTTCTTATCACAAGTACAAGATTCCCCCCCCCCTTTGTGTTTATTCTAAAGTGTTAATGTATTTCCCAATAGCTATATTGCTTTTGAAAACTTTCATGCTCAACAAGCATATTTCAGATAAAATCAATTTTTGTAAATATTCTGCCTTAGGCATTTCCGGACTGTTTATACTTAATAATGATTTAAGAATAAGCATCTTAATTGATTATTAATTCTCTCTCAGAGCTTACCATTAACTTGGGTACCCCATAAAAATAATAATAATAAAAAAAATTTTAAAAAAAAACAACAACAATTTATTTGTAATTTTAAAGGTCTGTTTTGGAAAATTTCTTAAATAAATTTAGAGTTGATGAAAAAAAACTATGATTTCATACAAATAAAAAAAGCTCAACTTAATAAATTCAGTCAAAAATCGAATATATTAAAATCCAAGCAATAAATTTTTTTAGGATACTTAATATATTTGATGTCTTGCGTTCACACCAACAATGAAAATTTAGTGGTCCAGTAGGACCACCTAGGTATTCATTTAGGAGTTCAAAAACTTAATATTGTAGACAAACTAACTAGGTACTGTAAACAAACTAACAAGGCACTTTCCGTTATTTCATTTGAATACCACACATTAGAATTCCATACCAAGCATGGAACAATAAAATTAGCACAAAATTCTTTTTAAGTGCACGGGAAGCATTTAAAAATTATTAATTGATAATTATTTAATAAATAATTAATTTTACACATTAGATGCAAAAAGCTTTTCTTTTCTTCTTGCAATTTTGTAAATTGCAAACATATTTTAAGGAGACCTATTTGTCCCCCAAGTGTATGATTTTAGTGACATTTAAAGAACATTTGGCAACAATTGTCGCAATGCTGATGTGAATCCTACTGATATAAATAATGACAAATAATAATACTACACAGATAATACATTCTAAGAAAACTATATTTAAAAAATAATATTTTTAATTATAATTTTATGCTGTTAATTAAATTTATATTGATATAATGAGAACTTTTAGGTTATGTGATATTCATATCACAGTTTATTTAGAGTGAGCACTTTCAGGTTAAAATGCTTTATATAACAAACTTTATGTTTAAAGCAACAAAATTTAATATGTAACGATACTCTTATAATAATATTGACAGAAACATAGAACAATGAATTGATAAGGTGAATTGATTGGCTGTTGACTGTTCTCAATTAACAGTGTAATAATAGATACATAACTATTATAAAAACAGAAAAGCAAATGAGTTTATAAATGTAAAATTTTGATTGTATTTGTTACTAAAAACTGGCTTAAAAAGCTCACTAAGTTCCCCTTTTTAAATATCATTATAAGAGTTTACAAAGAAATTTGTACAGGTTTTACTTGAAATATTGATAAATAATATAGGTATATAAAATTTATAATAATTATCAAATTAGATATTAACTGAAAAATTTAATATAAAATAACAATTAGGTTGTTTTAAAAATAGGTTAACAATGATAATGTTTTGATAAATGCACCTTTTATTTATTTATCCTGCATGCTAAAAAAATCAGAAATAAAAGATCTAACTAGATTGAAATATTTTAACTATTATTATTTGGATGAATGATTCAACTCATATGTCTCAAGTCCAAAAAAAAAAAAAGTTGAAATGAATAATGCATTGTTAATTATAAGTATAAAACAGTAATAAAAGTCTTGATCTATTGCTAAATAATATTTATAAAAAAATTTTCTTTTGAAAATATATCTACCTGTACCAATATAAATTATAAAATTTCATAATATAAAACAAATGGAAAAAGTATTTTAAAAGAATTAGGGGATATTCTGTAAATAAACATCAGAAACTTTAAAAATTGTTTAAAAAATATTAAGAAATGTAGCAATTAAAAAGATGCTCTCAAAATGAATGCTACCATAACATTCTTCTTAAGAAAAAATATCTACTCATACTACTATAAATTATAGTTTCAAATTTTTATAATTAAAATTAAAAATTTTCGAATTTCAGAAGCACAATAGGGCATTCTGTGAAATAATGTAAACTACAATAACAGCTTAAAAATAATAATAATAACAATAATAATGAAATAATAACTGACATAACAATGAGAAACATAATTCTTCCACCAAAAAAATTGCAAACTAAGGCCACTTTAATTAGCTTCAGCCTATCCAAATTAAAGCTAATTAAATTATCAAAAACATCCTTTTTCTGAGAAAATGCTTACCCATGCTATTACAATAAATAACAGATTTTACTGTTTACAAGATTTAAGAAAAAATATATATATAATTAAAATTGCATAGATAATTTATAAAGAAATATTTTAAATCATTAGTTTGTAACTACGTTGGTATTTTTTTAATATAAAAGTATGTTCGTATTTTATTAGAATATGTGATATAATTTAATGCAATGTTATTTCAATTTTGAACCCAGCAAGGATGCATTTAAATAAATTTTTGCCCAATAAAACAATTAAAACAGAGAAAAATCTAATAAATTTTTTGAGTATTTTATTGCGACAAAATGACTAAGCATGCTAAAAACATAAAAATGTTATATAATACCAATATCGTTTTGTAATGAAATGATTTCTAGTAAGTTCTTGAAAAATCACTACAAATAGCATTAAATTAAATAAAATATACAGCGGAAAATTTGATTTTATGCATACCCAAAATTTTGATTCGCAAACACGATCCATTCTTTCTTAAAATAAAAAAACAAAACTTAATTTTTCACAATTGTCCTCCCCCTGACATCATCTTCCGCTACAACTTTTTATCAGGAGTCGATAAGAGAAATAAAGAATTAAGAGAATCGATTGAAGATTAAATCCAAAACTTTTAGATAGTTGATAATTTTTATTGTTGACAATTACTAGCACAAAATCTTCTTCAAATGATAAACGACAATCGTAAAATATAAACAAGGCGGCTAATCTGACGAAGGTAAACACAAGGAGGAGAGTTGGACGGAAAATCAGAATCATTCATCGAGAACGTTCCGTTTGTTCAGTTTCATTCATTTTATGGAGTTTTTCAGTTAACAATTACTCGTTATTAGAATTTGAAACTGTCAAACAGTTTATCGAGTTTAAATAGTATAAGCGAGATGAATTGGTAGAAAGCGTTGCCACAACAAATTTGCTCAAGTAAAAAAATGAGGGAAAAAATGTTCATGGACTTTTCGCATTGTGATTGGCTGTTGTTGGTTGTGCTGGCATATCACTCATGGTTGCAAGAATTTGGAAAGTTATCGCGTTTATTGTGAATTAAAATAAAAATTAAAATAATTTAGTGCGTGCGAGTCTGTGTTTGCATTTGGTGTGTTGCCTGAATTGATTCATTGATGGATTGTGTGTGCATTTATTTTGTAAACAACCACTAGAAAAGTGGAGATTTTTGCTTACAAAATGAAATTAGGCATAAATGTTTTTGAATTGTTAGATATTTAAAAATGCAACAATAAAGATGTAGTTTTCCTTGCTATGTTTATTATTTGTTTTTAAATAAAATTATATCATTTTGATATTAAGAGTATGTTAACGGGTGCTCTTGATTACTTTTAAATTATTAAGTAATATCTTATAAAAATTTAGCTGCAATATTTATATAATTTTCTTACTTTCTGTTGTAAGGAAAAGACAATTAAGATTTTAATTAAAATAGTTATGCCATGTAAAGTCTAATCATCCTATGTATATTTCCTAACATCTGTACTTAATTATTAAGCATTATAATTGTAACATAGAAAATAATTCTGCAGTAAAGTTTAAATTGATGTTTAAGTGTTTATATATTATGTTTATTCAACATTGTAAGTGTTTCTACTTATACCATTTTATAAATGAATTTGTAACGGGCAGTTTTAATAGCATGCGTTGAAAAGTTAATAAAACTATGGCAAGAGTTTGCTGTTAAAAAAAATATTATCGATAAAATTTTTATGTGGTTATCAATTATTATTTATTTATTTAGAAATGATGAAAAGTAATAATATTTTTATGAATTTAAGCACATTATAATAAACAATAATATAGAAATGATAANAGAATCGAGGCTTGAGACTATTTATTGTGTCGTTTTGCGTTTCCAATTTTATTTTGCAAGGGTCACGGTGCTCAGCTATTTTTTCGAGTGACTGTATAATAAACAATAATATAGAAATGATAAAAATTTATTGGTAATAACAATAACATCAAAAATGAAAAAAATTCATGTTACATAAAATTTATTTTCGAATAGTTGAATACTCACTTTTATATGGATAGATTAGATTTTTGATTACAGATTATTTACTGCTGAGTATTAATAGTGACGTCAAATGTGGCAAGTATAATTAACTTGCTTTATTAGAAAAACAATTTTGCAACAATCAAATGAAAAATTTATAAAAATATATATTTGAAGCATATAGAAGTAAAATTCTTTAGATTTTGACTTAGAAATTATCAATCAAAAAGATCCTTTAAAATTTGAATTATATTTATATAATAAGTAGATGGAAATATTAGCAAGGGAAACATTTTATGATGAGTCATTCCACGTCAGATCAATCACTTTTGGACCGACCCCCCTCCTATTTTAATGAAATTTGGTGGAACATGCACACATGATAAAGTAAGCAATTCGATCAATTTTTAAGTTGAAAATTGTCCGAGTTATAGACACTTGAAGAAATTTAATTTTCATAGAAAAAATCACAAACTTGCATACATATAAATGGCTGTAACTTGCTTTAAAATTTTATCAAAAAAAAAAAAAAATTTGAAGCATCATTGCAAAGCTAAGAAATAGACCTTTCATTTGATATTTTATATGACTTTCTGAGGCTAGGTCAACTTTCTAAGCAACCTGATTTGGCCTTTGACCTGAAATATGTGGTCTCAAAAATTTACGAAATAAAAATATTTTTTACTGCAACATTCTAATACACATTTCAAATTTGTAACATAGAAATTGATTATTGCAAACCAACATTTTTATTAATTGAAACCGGTCTGCTGTACAACCTTTTTCCCTTTAAGACATTGAATATAATATGCATGGAAAACTGAGTAAAAAACTTAAAATTCTTAAACCAATGTATAAATCAATGATAATTATATCAAAAGTAATAATTTATTCCATACTTTTGGCTCCTAAAATTTATCCAAAATAACAATTTTATTTTTAGCAATTATATTTTTTATTAAAAAATAGTTTACATTTAGATATGCAAAAAATATTTAGATATGCAAAAATAAAACTAATTACAAGACATGAATAACATTTATTTCATAGAAAATATTTTATAAAATTATGATTATTAACTCTGTAACAATATGTTATGAACTGAATTAGTAATTATTTAAACAGATAAACATTATAAAATTTATGAAATAGTTAGGAATGATGTAGTGCCCTTATTGTGTTTACATTTTTATCTCATTATATAATATGAAATAATCTTGACTTGTTGTTGTTTGTATATCAACCTTTTAAATGATCTGTGTTTTATTTACTTTCAATATCAAAGGCATCTATGGGTACGAGTATGACAGTAAAGGGTCCTTGAGGCTGTAGAGAACTTAACCTCTTCGTAGTTTATATTTACATCTAAAATACATCGAATCCATCATTGACTGTCCTGCAAAATAACATGCCCTAGAATAGAGCGTTTCTAAAGGATTTAACAACACTGACTTGATCTTGCTTTCAGATGAATTTGAATACATTTTCGTTTTAAATGATTTTTTGTGGACCAGCGATTGTGTGGCTTTTCAAAAAAATTTCTCTATTTCTCACAATCTTAATATGATTTTATAGTACACAGAATTTGTTTATTGATGACAATATTAAAAAGTAAATAATTTACTCTATTTTTATTTCATTGAAGTTGTTTTTTTTTTAAAATTTTTAGTAGGATTGTTTTGTGTTGAATGAATATCTAATTTGAATTGGTCTAAATGTTGCTAGCATAATTTTTTTTGTGTAAAATTTTTTTATAAATGCTGAAACATGAAGGAAAAAATTTTTACGGTACAACTGTATCGTTTTTATATTAAAAGGAAAATTATTTTTTTATTTCTTTATGCTTTATTTAGAAACATAAAGAGGCCAAAGAACATCTTAAGGGATTTTGGACCTCATTTCAAATCAGATTAAATAAATAGAAATAAATTGTTTATTATTTGAATTAGCAGTTTTTGTTTATGCTTGCATGCTACTGCTGCTTTATAGCCTATAATAATGTTTTGTTTTGTAATTAAATGGAGAAGTGTATTGTTTCTTTAGTCTAAATCAACTACAGTTTAATGGTAATAAAAAAGTATATAAATTTTTAATTTATTCACCATTTGTATCAATGTTAATGTACTCAAGTGTCTCAAAGTTTGGTATGAAATAAAACCTAATATAAAAAAAGAGCTGTTTTTGTTCATTGTCTTAAAAAAAGCTACAAGTAAAGTTTCAATTCATATTTTCATACTATAGCAGGTTACACGTATTTTTATTTTCATTTTTTTCATCATGACTAAAATAAATTTTAACAAATTTAATACAGAAAATGAGATTTGTTAAATATTCAGTTAGCTATTTACGAATGAAAAAAAATTATGATTTTTATTTTATTTGCATGTGTGGGGGTGGAGTAATCGACTATGTCAACCGTCATCTATGAAAAGGTATCCCAACA